TTTTGAACAATGTCCAAGCTGGAAATATAAATCTATTATTCTGGGTAAGAAACAATTTAGCTTTATATAATTAGACATGAAACAAATACCTCATAATTGCATATTCAATTGACAGAGATATATTATTTTTCTGCACTGTAAGAAACAGCTGTAAAATTGTATCATCTGAGAGAGTAGCTGCTGTCTTCCTCAGCAGTTCACTGCAGTCACTTGTGGAATGTTGCATGTCTGTTAAATGCAATTAATTTGTAGACTATAAATAAATGAATTTGCCACACCTCGAAAATACACATGTTCCCTGGGGGGGTACTGTTGCATATAGAGTTGCTGACCAAAACTGTTTTGAAACCTGGCAATTGATTCCTCTGGAGCTTTTATTACAGCATCTTCAATACTCATTCCACCATTAACCAATTGTTTTATTGTTTGGTCATCAAGCATGTCTGCTTTTGTAAACAAGACAATAACAGGAACTGCACACAAAATGAAAATGTTACATTCAAGAGATTATCAATAGTTTACACACCTCTACCAGTCCCTGACTGATCAAAGAAATTTAACTCTGCTCTTGTAATTGGTCTGGCTTCATCATTGATTGGGATGCAGTACCTATACAGGATGTATTCAGATGCACTTTAATGTTAATGCTCAGTCACTTACCAAATTACATGCAGATGATCCCTGATGTTTTTTTTGGTTGAACATTTTTGTATAAAGTTCTTAACTTTATCCAGCTCAGATGTTCTGCCTGCTTCGAAGCCATGTGAGTCATGAAAGACAAATTCCCTATTACTCTCGAATATCATTTCATTCTCAATGTCATGCTCCCCTCTCTGCCACACCTTCAGTAAAAATAATAGGACTGTAAATCCACATACCCATGCAGTTGCATTGAGCTCGGACAAGTCAATCTATCCACATCAATAATGATAGATGATGATGTCTAGGACTCTAGAACATGGAATACCTCATGACCCTCCCGATTGAAAATTTTCGGCTGTTCTGTTGCATTGCAAACTCGCTGGAGGATGGTTGTCTTTCCCGCATTGGCGCGGCCAATGATAAGGACACGATAATGCTTGATGAGCGCTCGAACATTTCGCGCTCGTCTTCGTTGTCTTTCTACTTCTTGGAAATCGGTATTGGAAAGAGACATTTGTCGCCCGGATGCCTGAGATGGTGGAAGTGGTGAAGAATCAAGATAAGCGCAGCGGTGGGCAGTGTATTGTTTGCTTATGCTGGGTCAGCCACAGGTGTGACGTCACTTGAGCGTAACCATCGTTCACTTCTGGCCTCGCCGTTGATACAGCTTTATTCTCATAGGGATTTCCAATATGTACACACATCGTTGACTGCTCAACTGAGCTTTTCAAGCCTCAATCTGACCACGACGATCGTGAAAGCATGCTTTGACCCAACGGCGAGGGAGAGGGAAGTACAAATTTAAACTCCAGGTTAACTTTTCCACAGTCCAGGTGAATGCTCCTTCGAGTCGCCATTCAAGCTCCAGCAATGGCGTGAGTTCGCCACAGACTAATCTCTACGGCAGCGGGCTTCTTTCCACGACACCATTTTCCTTCATTGAGACTCGAATTACGGTAGCTGAAAACCTAGAAGGTTGAAAGTGGCTCTGATACTCAAGGCGCGAACTGAAATGGAAAAGCGTCATTGTCAACTGGAGTACTACATATCCGATGTAATGTCCGAGTCGGGCCAACACCTCGAGGCCCCAAGTTGAGTCGGGATGAGGAGTTTTCATGGTACTCTGATAGTGAGGTTGGTGGATTGACTCGACCGTAAAGGAAACGGAAAACGGGCTATGATACGCGCGCTGAGTCTTCTCGGTCACAGCCTACTCAAGGAAGGGTAGTTGTCTGTCGGATTTTATCGAGCAAATAACTAACCTGTAGCTTGGATACGGTGACTTGTAATCCGACCGTCGACTACGTGTTTTTCTGGAAGACCAACGAAAAGCAGTGAGTGCGATATTTTCCGTTTGTATGGGAAGGGATGTTGATGGGAATGATAGTGGTTGGGCATCGCAATGGTACCCATCACCTTTCACCGTAAAAGTGAAGCTTGAAGAGGAAGGCGAGGAGGAGGTGACGTTTGCCTCTGCCGAGCACTGGATGATGGTTCAAAAAGCGTTGCTGTTTGGCGACTATGGCAAGGCGCGTGAGATCTTGGGTGTAGAGGGGGTATCGTCGAGCGACATGGCGCACGTCAAAGCGCTAGGTCGGCAAGTGAGCGGGTTCGACGAGAAAAGTGGGTAGATGCGCGGCAGGACATTGTGCTTCAAGGGAACATGCACAAATTCGAGCAAAACGGCGAGTTGCTTGAGAAATTGATGGATACGGGGGATAAGAAGATTGTAGAAGCGAGTCCTAGAGATCGGATATGGGGTATTGGCTTTGGCGAGAAGAACGCGTTGAATCAACGGGAACGGTGGGGATTTAATTTATTGGGAATTGCATTGGAGGAGACGAGGAGGAAATTAAATAAGGAAAGCGTGGGAAAGGAGGGGCATGAAGCGTAAAATGTAAAATAGAAACAGAAATCATCATCATCATCTCAACAAATGCTGCACACGCAGCCACTCTCATACGCTCAGCGCGCAAAGAACGCTCAGAACAAGTCAAATCATGGCGACGACAGTCCACCCACTTCACCCACTTTGGCTGTCAAAGCTCTCTCCATCGTCGCCGCTCAGAAGGACACGACCATCGTGAACTTTTGGAGTCAAAGGAAAGAGAAGATGGCGGCGGCGGCTGCAGCTGCTGCAACCCATCCTCATCCTCAGCGAACAACAACAAAAGACCGTTCCATCACGCGACAACACCACCACCAACGGCGTCGATACGAATAGCTGGCCAGAGGTCGGCAAGGTTCTCGAATCTGCGAGTGGCACGACGACGGATGAACAACAGGAAAGGGAGAAGGAAAACGTGTCACATACCCCAAGGAAAAGTACTTCATTTTGCTTTCCTATCGATCGTTCTCTCGTAATAACTTGAAAATCCACAACAGCGAAATGGGTTCCTATACCCCCAGAAGAGCTCCAAGCAACTGCAGACGCACTCCGAGTAAAATCAGCAAAATCTTCTCGCTCCAATTCACGGAGTAACAATAAACGAAACACCACCAACGCCAATGCGAATGGATCAACCCAGAACCAATCAGGGCGCCAATCGACGCCAGCAAGCACATCTCACTCACGCGTGAACAGCCGCTCTGCGAGCGTCCATTCCAGTCCTCACTTGTTTGCTCGTGGTCGGCGATTGCCTGATGATCAGGATCACTCCGTCCCTCCCGTACCGACTCTCAATGGAACTAATGCAAACGGTGGTGGTATGAAAGCGATAACAACAACGAAAGATGACGCGTATAGACCGTATCAACCACAGCCTTACCTACCCTCCCCTATCACTATCACGAGGAACACATCAACGGACTCACCGACGTACCCGTACCCGCACCCGAATTACCCTGCGTTTGAGTATCCTTCAGCTGGCTCTTCGCATCACCCGCTATCAGCGATGCCTGCGCCACAGACGATGCCGGTCCCGCAACCTTATTGGTTCCATCCCAATCCATCTTCGGGGCAACATAGTCCGAATTACCCACCACATAAGCAAGCACAAGGGATGTATTCTATGCCTCAGCCTGTTGTACATCACCATGCAAGCGGGAGGAAACCACCTGAACAAGCAGCGCCTGTCGTTGTGTACGGGTACGATGTTTCAACACCTGGGAATGGGAAGAAGGCGATGAGAGGGGCGGGTCCGGTGGTGTTTGGTTCGATTGCGAGTGCGCAAGAGGTTACGCCCAGTCCGAGTCCTGGACCTTCTATGCCTGTGCCTGTGAATGTGCCTGTACCTGTGAATGGGGGGTTGGCGATTGATGAGTTGGGTGTTAGGAGGATAACGACGAGGCATGGTGGTGTTGAGCAAAGGGGTGTATTGAATGGCGTGGGCAAGTGGGAGTTTGGGACTACGGGGTTGACGGCAACGGGGTTGGATGATCATCAGCTCGAGGACACCAAGCCACTCAAAACAAACACGAACACGAACACGAACGGGTTGGTGGAGAGTAAACCCTCCTCGGGGTCTGTATCACCCCTCGTTGGACTTGGAGGAGGGTTGGACGCGTTTTCGGTTAAAGATTTTGGGTTTGGGTTTGGGTCTAGGAGGGCGAATGTTAGTGGGGCGAACGAGGATGAAGGCGGGCAAGAGGAAGGGCAAGAAGGGGAAGGAGAAGAAGGGGAACGGGAGAGGTTGGTTAAGGAGCAGGAGAGGTTGGTTAGAGCTGCCAAAGCCAAGATGGCTGAATTGGAATTGGGGAGTGGGATGCAGAGGACGGAGGGTGAGGAACCGTTGGTTGTTCCTCAGGATGATAATGTTGCTGTTGTCCACTCTGTGGGTGGACGACCGAGACGAGGGTCTTATGCTGGTGGAGGGTATACCCACTCAGATCGTGGTGCGCGGAGAGGAGGAGGTGGACGTGGGGCATATCGAGGAGGACAAGCGGGAGTGTACCCACGAGGAGGAGCGTACAACTCTTCCTCTACTTCTCGTGGTGGTCGGTATTCACATCATCACCACCACCAACACCACCACCAACAATATCCACAACAAGCCCCATTCAACCTTTCCCCACCACCGCATTTCCAGCCCATCGAGCCTCTGCAAGTTTCGGTGCTTGCGCCTGCTACGTCTGGAACGACGTATTTCCCGCCGCCTCCGCCTCATCCTCATCAGAGGTATGGGTTTGAAGCTGCAGCGGCGGCGTATCAGGGGTTGTTTCCAACTCCTCCCCATTCTGCTCATGGTGTTCATGCTCAAGTACAACAGGTACAGGGAATGGTGCCCCCGCCGATGCCGGTGCCGTTGTCGATCTTGTCGTTCCCGCTTGATCCGACGAGGTATTACCTCCTTGGACAGCTGGAGTATTATTTGAGTCCCCAGAATATGGCGCAGGATTTCTTTTTGAGACAACGGGTGGGTGTTGAGTTTTGCTTTTTTATATTTGTGTGGTTTTTGTTCACTTCCTTCTGTTTTTTTTTCTTTCTTTCTCTGTTCGCGACAACGGGTGAAATTTACGCTTTTTTGAAGAACTTTTTTTTTTTTTTCGATTGTTGTTACGTTCCCGTTTTATTCATTTTCTCACTTCCATTTCTTTTCCTCTGCCTTTTCTCTTTCTCCTCGTTTCTCTGTTCGTCTCTTCGCCCTGCGTTCCTTCTTCTTTTTCTCTACTCTATAATCACACAACTAACAAAAACATTGCACACAGATGGACTCGAAAGGATGGATACCAATCCAACTTCTCGCCTCATTCAACCGTGTCAGGCAGTTGACGCTGGACATTACACTTGTCCGAGACGTTCTCCTTCTTTCTAGCGTTGCACAGGTGCATCAAAGCGGGGATTGGGTACGTATGGGGGGATGGGAGAGTTTTGTGTTGCCGGATGCGAAGAGGAGCGATGTGGATTCAAATGACTCAGAGGCGGTTGCGGTTAGGAATCAGGTGGTGGTCCAGGAGGGCGGATTTACGGAGGAGTTTGTGGTGGGTGAGCCCGCGGTGACGACGCTTTCAGGGGCGGACGCGCTTGTAAAGGGCGAACCTGGACGACAGGTGGAGGAAGGGTCGAGTCGGCAAAGTGCGGGGGAAGGGGGTGGCGTTCGGGATACTCCTCCTGACGTTTGTGGGGAAGAAGCTTTGGAGGTGACCGAGGGAACCGGGAAAGGACCAAGAAATGTAAACGGGGGTTCTCCGCAGCCTGGCTACGAAGAAGTAGAAGAGGAACTTGAGGAGGAGGAAGAGGAAGAAGAAGAAGAAGAAGACGTCGTCTTCGTGATGGGGGAGGAAGCTGTAGCTGTAGCTGGGACGTGGTCCCCTGAACGGATTGCTTCATGAAGAAGCGATTCTATTCTCCCTTCCGGAGAAAAGTTATCTTGACTGACGCCTCCCGCTAGAAACCCAACTTCTTGGACGACTGGCTCCCATTCCTCAACTAGAACCAACCCAACTCAACTCTCTTCTTGGACGCGCTGCCGCACACATGCGTGCAAGATATATTTTTATATATTCAAGAACAACTCAACCGTTGCAAGTTGCTGCTCTACATATATCCCTCGCCCACGCTGGCGTTTGTCTGCTCTTCTCTTTTTTATCTTGGGCCTATCGCGGTTCATGACCTCGCTCGACCTTTGTATCATACACGTTCATAAACCTAGCTGACAGCACAACCTGTCTGGCGCTCGCCCTCATGGACACTCTTGCCTGGTCCCCAGGACGGTCGCAACTTGTCTTGTCCTCAACCAGGATAACCCACTCACTCTGCAACTTATATCCCGACTAATGAATGAATGATGCTTCGGCTCATCTCTTCCTCCTCTTTCCATCCCGTCCCATCCCATTCACTTTGTTGTTGTTGTTGTTCTTTAACGCGTACATCTCTGTGCATCCTCCCCCTCATCGTATTTCCATTTACACTGTCGTTTTATTATCCCTATACATGTTGGCTGCGTTGTAGTATAAAGTCACTCTCACATTTTGTGTTCATTGTTCATTGCATTTTTTGTCTCCTGCTCCACCCATCCATCATCCCCTTTCAACATACCACGTACAGCTTTTTCTTGTTGCTTGATGGAACTCTTCTCTGTTGCTTACTTGTGTGTGATCCACGCTTCACGGTGCTAAACGTGTTCTGTGTGACCAATGGTATCGGTGTAGAAGTTGGCGCTTTGAAATTGTGCTCCACGCTTCACGGTGCTAAACGTGCTCCGAGTCTGTGTGATCAGTGGTATCGGTGTAAAAGTTGGTTCTTTGGAATTGGTGTCGAACGCCAAGTTGTTGCTTCAACAACCAACCATGGAGACAAGAAGAAAAAAAGTCAAACAACTGGACTCTGAACGGCGAACGTGTTTCAAAGAGTAATTTGAAAAGCGTTTAGACAAAGCTGTTGCGTCATCCCAACGTCGTCCTTGATCTTGACTTGATCTTGACTGTGAGATATCCCGACATCGGGCCGTAATATTCGTCGGTTGCTTTCTTGTCCGAGCTTGATAGGACTTCAAATTGTTTATTTCCGGGCTCCACAATGCTATGTAGCGCTTACCTGAACTGCGTTTGACCGCTGATGGTCTGATGTACCGCCGTACATGTGAGAATGTGGTCTCCTTGAATCTGGCGCAAATTTGTACTTTGTTAACCACGAAAGAGTCAAACAATCGGACCGTATCCTTGCAACATGACAGATGATAAGGCGCATTTCGCATCCAGTTGACGATATCACCAACGCCCAAACGTGTGTAAGAATAGCTCTTCAATCTTGATGACGGACTTGGCGGCTTTTGAGTACAAAAAATCGGAACCGACGAGAGGGGCCACCGATATTATATCGGAGGCAAATTTACATCTTGAGAGCGCGGACTGGAAGGAGTGGGTGTAGTTCGACGCTTTTACGCTGCTCTGGGCGTGGCTTCAAATCAATTGGGACTTGAAGCGGATACTGCTCGAGGGGGATCGGTCATAAGACCTTGGACCTCAGAGGGTACCTTCCAGACGGGGATACCAGTGAATCAAAGTGACGCCTCTGAGTCGAACCAGGTAGTAGACGTCCTGGGAGAAGCTTCGGAAGAAAGAGCATCCCATTAATTAGGGATGACACGGCTGCCAGTGCAGAGAACCCAGAGCTGGCCCAGAGTACACTGCGCTGATACGAAGTTTTTCGATCAAGACCCCGAGGCGATGAAGGTAGACCTGATGGTACGAGACAATCGGAAATCGCGTCACAAAGCTGAGGAGAAGCATTTATAAACAACAGCGTGCCCAAGAGGTTTCTAGGAGCCAAGAGGAATGATCAGTCTAATAAAGTCTTTCAAGAAAGCAAGAATACCTTGCTTTCCATGACTAGCTTGGCACGGACTAAGTATGTTCCTCGCCTGCAGGTGCTTTCGTCTGTGTCGCCAGCTATGTGATTGATAGGTTGTTAGCCGCCGTGAACACTGCTGCGAGGGGATCGATACTTATGTACCTCTTTCTGTGTTTTCAAGTTCACTCAAAAAAGGGATTTGGATCCGAAAACGTTTTGAGAAGTCGCGTGCGTGATCGACGTCGACGTCCTCTCCACGTTTTCTGTCATGCTTTTTTCATATCGTTCGCTGGTCTCCGCCTGGCATTACCAAGCGCTACGCTCATCTACGCTCATCCAGAGATGCCGAGCGCCTTTGTCGTTTGATCATCAATCTCAAACTCTCCATCACTTGACCCCAGCCATAATATTGGTTATCAGTTGCCAATACCAGATCACCGAAAATCTTTGACAGAGCAGTCGTTTTCGCGAAAGGTGGGCTGCCGCGCTGCGTCTTGCCAGGCCCAGGCAAGGCCCGGGAGGAATGCGCGTACCTTTCATCAAGGAAGATATGTGGTCCTGCCCCTCATGATCACGATTATGACGAATGCTAGCGAATCGTTTCGTTTTTTATCTGGCTTGCCAGGGTTGCTATGCCCCATAAAGCCACCGTCAAACTTGATCGAACCCCAGGAAGAGGTTGCGAAGGATAAAAAAAACACGGTCCAAAAACTAATTTACACGAAACTCCCAACGAAGCAGGGACGGCGCTACCCATGAGAATTTCTGGTCGATGCGGAAATCTATATCTATAGACCACTGGTGTCCGGCTTGAGGTCAAATCCCCTTTCCTCTGTCTCCCCTTTGGCCCACCCTAGAACACCCATCCTTCACCGCACTGACATGCTCGTGCCAAGAAAGAGCTCTGTCCCTCAATGGCCCCCAGCTCCGCCCCATGACGAAACCGACGACCAGCGGAAGGAGCGATTAAAAAAAGAGGCGGAGGCAAAACGCAAGAGTGATCAAATTGATCGAGTTTTAGGGGCGGAGCGTGAACGACAGAAAAAGGTGGCGAAAGCAAAGATATTATTACTAGGTGCGCGCTGCGCGCTCACCTCAAATCGACCGTCCTAACTCCTGACTTGAAAACGCCTCTAGGTCAAGCGGAGTCAGGAAAATCCACGGTCCTCAAAAATTTCGAGCTACATTTCGCGCCAAAGGCATTCGAAGCAGAGGTTCGTTGACACTTACACCTCAACTTCCAACGATTTCATATCTAACGCTCGCACCAAGGCCGAGGTGTGGCGCCCCGTTATACACCTGAACCTCGTCCGATCCGTCAATTTTATCCTCAACTTCTTAGCGGGCAGGTTCTCCGGACTTCGCGATTCCGCTCTTGTGACACAAGAGCATCAGCATGCCTATGGTACAATGACGGCCGAGCTTCGCAAACTCTGCATTCGATTAGCTCCTCTCCGACAGGTCGAAGAAAGCCTATGCAAGACGCTTTCTGGATCATCCGACAACAGGCAGGGATACAACCCAGCAAAGGCCCCTGAAGTTTCTATTCCTTCAGGAAGCGGTTGGAAGAAGACACTGGCTGGTGGGCGATCAGAAGAGTCGAATGTTTCTCGAGTGGGGGCGTCGGACGATGGCCGAAACCGCCGGATTTTAGCTGCGTGCGGCGAGGATATCGCAAGATTGTGGAACGATCCAACGGTTCAGCAGTCGTTGCGTTCGGCGGACATTGCTCTTGAAGAGCAACCGGGGTTGTAAGTCGTCCATCCGTTATCTTTGAGAACGATGGCTCTTTTTGACAGGCTTGATCAGCTTTCTGGATCAAGCTGAGCGAATCACGGAGGAAGAATACAAGCCAAAGCCAGGTTTGTAGATATCCTTTCAGACGTGTACAATCAATTTAACGTTGTTCCTAGAGGACGTTTTGAAAGCCAGAGTGATCACCACTGGTCCAGAAGAACACGTAATTCGTGCCGAGGCAGCCAACGAGAATGCAAGAGAATGGACAATCTACGACATTGGTGGACATCGAAGTCAGCGAGGTGAGAATTGTCCTAAAACTAGGTCTTGGTATCGAGTCCTCACCCGCTTTCTTTGAAGCTGCTTGGGCTCAGTTCTTTGACGATGGTATTCATATCTCCCATTCAGAAAGGCCTAAATTAAAGGAAAGATGTAGTCAACATTGTCATTTTTCTTGCCCCGATGTCCGGGTTCAATCAAGTTCTCGCCGAAGATGAGAGCGTCAATCGACTGGTAGGTCCTTTTCCCTTGAGCTACTTTTCTAAACACTGATCTTTTCCTTGGGACATAGACGGACTCCTTGAGGCTCTGGCAAGAAATATGTAGCAACAAGATTCTAGCCTCAGTCGAATTTGTGATATTCCTCAACAAGCTCGACATTTTGGAGTCAAAACTCAAATCGGGTGTTCAATTTTCACAATTCGTCACATCATACGTCGACAAACCAAACGAGACGAAACCCGTCGCAAGATGTGGGTCACCAAAGTGGCCGTTTTGTGCTGTGTCATTCATCATCATTCCAGATCTGCTTGATGTTTTCGTTGGGATCCATCAACAACATTCACCAAAACGGAGGAAGGTCCACCCTCATCTAACCTGTGCAGTCGTATGTACCTTGGATCTCCTCGACTACTTGTTTGCTGACAACCATCTTAACTCCAAACAGGACACCCGCGCCACGTCGACGGTCATAACCCGCAGTATGTGATGCTGTTAGATTACATTGACCATTTGCTGATTTTGTCTTGCTTCAGTACGAGAAATGATACTCGTGAAACTGCTAGCCACCACGAATATATTGTAACACTCCCGGTGACCTGTACGACTATCCCCTGTAACTTATTTCCCTCCCATTGCGACGACCCCCTTAATGACATACTCCTGCACTGTTGTATTCCTTCACCTTGTTTCGTATCATTGCATGCTCCCCTCCCTTTGCGAAAAGTTGATACTAAACATTCTTTTGTAATTAGTAATTTCGTATTCAAATATCAATGATATCATCATCATCAAGGGAATATTCCTCAAATTTCAAGAGGCCAGGGCTGGATGGGGACCTCTCATCCGCCATTCGGAACTCAGGGAGTAAATTGGCCAAAAATTAGCCGCGTTGTGTCACGATGACGTGACGCCATAAATAAGGTTGAAGCTCGAATCTCCACTCTTGCTCCCAACACTATACCATGGTCAGAACCGCAGACGTCGTCCTCATTATTGTGAGTATCGTGGCGATGCCCGCCGCATGAACTATTATCATATTGTAACCCTCAGGTCGCAATCCTCTTTCCGCCGGCCGCCGTAGGCTTCCTTACTGGGTGCAGCTGTGATCTCCTTATCAACATTGCCCTAACCATGTGCGTATTACAACCCTGGTAGTACCTCATCGAAACCACCCTTGACGTGACGCCGATGCAGTTTGGGATATATACCAGGTCACATTCACGCCTTTTGGCTCATCTACAAAAAGAACAAGGCTGAAGAGCGCTACGGAAGTGGCGGCTACCAGTGTACGTACTTCAAATTGACGCTTCTCGGACCTGGACTGACGGCCATACCTAGATGTCGGCAATGGCCAGTACGAGCCCCTAGGTTCAGGGGCCGTCCGTGCCCCAAATTATGGAGCAACTAGTGCTTAGCACTTCCTAAGTCTTTGTTGCTCCACCCGGATATACCAGACAGGAAAAAGGAATGGACTCTCGTTTTTTCAAGTGTATTGTTCTGCTCTCCTGTAGCTCTTCTTGTCCATCATCGCCTCGACTGTATGCGCTTTCTCTGGAACAGACAATTCACGCTGTTATTTGTACAATATTGAGTAGATCACCGTACGAACGAATCATGTTACCTTTCTATGCGTACACCGACTAAAACTAAAATCAGGAATTGTCAAAGAATCACGGTACAGTCCAAAAATTACAAGATATGCCTATGAGTACAGATGTTGCGTCTAGAGTCTACAGGTTACAATTCGATGTGGCATGAGGGTGCAATGATTTGTCCGTGCGCGCGAAGGAGACTGATTTCACAGAAACCACATCTTTGGACGCATGTTATCGTGGACCCGCCCGAAAACTCTTTTCCACGCGTCCAAATCCAGTGGCGGCTCTTGACCACTTGATACTGACGATGTATCCGAAGCCTGCAACTGCGCGGCTCCAACAGGGTGCATGTGGAGGAGGGCCTTGGTGCAAACCAGCTGATTCAACAATGAGTGAGCGGAAAAACATTGTTTGCAAAGGGATCTTACATCGGCGTCTAAGAGAAAGTAAAATCAAGACTTGTTTCAACATATCTCATGGCTGGACACTTACAGTAAACGGGGGCGGGAATGGACACTGAACGCGTGGCTTTGGCGTAGACGTGGGTGAGCGCGAAGGCGAGGTCCTGCAACCTAGATGAACAAATAGCGTCGTGAGCTTTGTTAAGATGTTATCCCAACTCAGTGAAAACTAGACTGACGTGGGGAGATGGTTGTTGAAGTTTTGGTCTTGCAAGACGATGTAGTTGCTTGATCGAGAAGCTGGGCATAGCGAAAGTGTAAACAGAAAACTGCGCGAAAGGGATTGACTTACTGCCTTGAATCGCCGCGTGACTTTGGAGGTAGAAGTTAGGGTAGCCTGGGCGGGTGATACCCTCATCTACCACACAGCCTGCCTTGACATTGCCCGTTCTGTCGCCGGCACTGAAGTGACATGTTAGACATAGGAGAGGATGAGTGGTGTATGACATACTCCTGATCACGAGGAACCGGGAAGAAGACGGCATGATGACTATACAAAAACATCAGCTTTTACAACAAAAGAGGATTCACCAGGCTATCTAACCGTTTACCGACGACTACGAAAGTGACTTTTGGCTTCGGAGTCCTCGCCCCCCAGACCTCCCCAACAGCCGCTAGATAAATGTGTCAAACGCGCGAAGAATCTACGGGGAAGATGCTTACCGTCAATAGCTCGAATTTCCTCATTGCGAATCTTTTCATATTCGCCTTCTGAAACTCCATCCCTAAAGAAGAAGATTCTGCCAGGTCCTGCCTTATTTTCTGCGATGAAACCTTTGAGTGCGGAAACGACCATTTCACGGAGATCTTGGATGACTTCCTGCCGAGGATTTTGGATGCGGCACATCGAGGCATATTTCGTGGCATGCATATCCAGGGAAAAAACTAGACTTGTGACGGATGGTTTTCGAACTCGTGGCCCTGGGTGTCCAACGTCGGCACCTGTCAAGCAAAAATGTAAGAAATATAACTTCGATCGAGTAACGACATACCCATAATGATGTACGGTTCCTTCTTGAGATCATTGATTGTACGGGAGCCGCTGGCATGATAGTTTAAACCTCCCAGGCGTGCGTTGAGCCTAATGAAATTCGAGTTAGGCCCGAAAGATGTTTAAGTGGTGAATGGTTGCAGACTTTAGTGCCACATTGTTCCAATATTGATCGTTCGCCTTCAATAGTTTATCAGCACGGACACATTGGGTCAGGATGCCTGCCAGGTAAAGAGCGTCAGTTGAATCTCGCACCAAAAACAAGTAACTTACCATATTTAACATCACCCCAGAACTTGACGGTATGTAAGATCGTAGCAGCTTCGTCCGGAAGAATGACTACCAGAATGAACCTTCCCAATCCGACAATGTTTTTTTCGAAGTCGTACAAGGCCTTTTCAGACTCTTTCATGGTCTCGCGGAGTTCGTTCACGACCCTTGCACACTCGTCCATGGTCTCGCCGAGTGACTGGATGGTGATTGGTTTTTTTGGATTATTATGAGCCGTAAGTCACAAACCTTTTCTACATCTTGTGGGTTTCCATTTCGCATGTGGAGAGGAGGCCTGGTCGCTGCGGGAGACAGAGTTCAGACACTAGTATTCACACTTGGAAGAGAACCTTACTCATCCCTACGCAGAGTCAAAGAGTTAGTCAGACCGATGTGTCCATCAACAATGCTGTTGAATGAAACTGACCTAAAGTATGAGTACAGCGTCCTAGCGATTGCATTGCGCGGCTGGCCGTTTCGAATACTACCCTTTCGGGGTAGAAGTTAACGGCGGCCCAGAATTCCAACGGCTTCGGACTTTGTAACGTCTGGCCCACGACGTTCCATTTTCCATCAGCGACTCTCTTGGATGCAAAATGAGATGGAGATAGAGGATGAAAGAAACCACTCACAGTCGTTTTGTTCCCTCCAAATGTCACTGAAGGGGGGGGAAGGAGCTTGGCAGAGATCTTCATAGGGGTATAATTGATCATCATCCCGGACTCAGCAACGTACTCCGAGGCTTGATACGCCTCGACCTATTAGAAGAAGATTATCAATGCGTAAGTGGAAAAGAGTAAGGCAGCTACAGACGCTTTTATTGATTCGCTGGAGCCGTTCGTGCGGCTTGGCTGTCGAGAACTTGACGATGTCTCTTGTTGCGGAGTTCGGTAGTTTCCCCTTGAAGATTTGTCCATCGAGGATCGAGCAGAGTTCAGCCGGGACGATATTCGGGCGCGGAGCGGACTTCGGAGTGAGAAGAAGGCCCCACATGGTGGGGTGTTGCAGTTTTCTATGGGTGACCTCGAAGTGTCGCTTTGACAAAAGTAAAAATTAGCAATGCTAAAGATTAGACAATGTGGAATACTACCGCAATGGTGACCATGCCCACACCATCCTTTTCGAATTGGTACTCCCCCGCTCGCGGGACAAGACCGTAGATAGTCTTGGTTTTTTTCCCCGTCGTCTCAGTATTTACTCGACGGCCTTTCAAAAACTTTTCCAAGGTTTTCCTGTTTGCGTCGGTCATCAAATCACGAAGGTTCTTCGTACGTGGGATGAGATTCATGCAGACGTCAAGAACCTTGCCGGACAAATAGCTATGCCACGTGAGAGTAAGAAAGTAGGCAAAAAGGGAACACTCACACAGCCGTTGTAGATGTGTCGATTTGTAGGAGCATTCGACCTTGGGCAGGCCTAACGGAACTAGGTTACGAGAGGGGGAAAAATATCAGAAACAGGCAAGATCAACTAAGGGAGACCCACTGGTAGAACCCTGCAATCAGTTTTATCCCAAGCTCCCTCAACTCTTGAGAGCGGTCTCCGGGAAAATATCCCCTGGAGGTGTGGGTGTGCAAGCTAATGATTATTGAACACGTTAGCAAGCTTCAAGTGCAAATCAGGGTGCTTACATATTCGTATGCTGGGAGATTATGAGCTGCAGGAGATTAACTGCGGTAGCGGTCTTAGGTGTTGAGTTTCCGTGGAGGATGAGGTCGTTGACGTCGCTATTGGGAAAGAAAATGAAAAATTAACAATAAAAAGTATCTCAAGTCCTTACGTTGGGGTAATTAATCCTCCAGCTGTTTGGGTGAGGCGAATTTGAACTACCCCCTTGCCTTGGGTGTCGCGGGGTGGTTCTCCCGATAAGCTAACATTCCACTATAAATGTAAGATGAGGTGAATGCGCTATGGTCAACGTCCACATGATATCTTACCATGCAACCGGTTCCTCCTCCAGGAAATTCAAGCCGACGGGGCGAGAACGCGATAGACCTGCCGTCGTAAAGTACCTTCGGGTTGAAAGTCCCGGGGGCTACAGTCGTTTGTAGACGTTGAAAGAACTCTTGTCGCTTTCTCGGAATAGGTATCGGTGGTGTGAATGCTACGCTGTTTATGAGCGGGGTGGGTAGGATTTGAAGTGTCAAAGAAACCTACAAACTAGATACCAAAGATGTCAGTATTGCGCAATAATAAAGAGAGAGACGGCTTACCGTCGTATTGCGTGTAGTTGATTGTGGGAAGCCTGTTGTAGATCAACTCCAGTCACTAATGCATGAAGGAATCGCCAGGACAGCACCTTGGGATCTGAAAGAAGTTCGTGATGATAGTGATATTTTGAATCCCGGGAGACTGAGAGGATTGAGGGAAACGGTGCGACATGATATGGAGGTCAAGATTGGGTCAAGAAGGTCCTGGGGAAAAGTGTTTGCTGAGATTCACGAATTTATATGTTCTTAGGCGATGTTGATCCCCGGAAAGTCGATTTGCACACGCTGCACCTCTTGTTTATGTTCTCGACGTGGAATTCCGGAAAGAAGGTTGGGTATCGTCTATTCAAGATAACGGGAGTTGAGCGGGATGGCGACGGGAAGACATTGACTATTTAAACGTGGACGCCGTCCCTAGTATTCAGATCCGCATTTAGAATTCCTTGATTGGGCCGTCCGCTTGGGCCATGCCCCTGCCAGTGAGTTTTACCATGCATACATTATAATTAGCTTACACTCTCATGTCTAAGAACACTCTCTGGGTCAGAATCCTCATCGTTATCGTCGCCACTGTCTTTCTCGCTACGCTCTTTCGTCAAGCAAGATTCGGGAACTGGAAATCCCTCACAATCAACTTCAAAAAGAACTCAGCACGACCTACAGCTTCAATAGAACGTTATCGCGAATCACCCCCATCTCTCGAGGCGCATTTTGTGCCACCTGACTTGGAACGTCAAGACTACCGAGAATGGAACGCCCGTACTTTGAGAGATCTTCACTCGTGCATTGCCTTAGATAATTGTGGGCCCAACCAGCGCAAGGTTGCCCTATTGGCGGCTCATTGGTTTCAGCAAGCTGTAGTGGAAGGCTTCAAAGGAGGAAATGGAATATGGTGAGCACTGAACTTTTAGAACGACTATCTCTGATGTTAATAAAATTGCAGGGGGATATCTGTGGTGAGTTGTTTCTGACGCGGCTTGGTAGCTCAAACTCACTGGTTGCCAGTACAAAAACCTCCGAAGGCTGGGCTACACGACACTTTTCGCGACTAGCTTTGGTAGGACACGTTATTATGTCTTCCAAGACCATTCTCTCATGTCGTTGGCAGAGGAAGCTCTCTTCCAGTATCGAATGTTTCCCGACCTTGTAAAAGTGCGTCCTTGAAGTTTCGGACGTCCCTCTTCAAGTTGCTGTCTTACCAAAAATTATCAAGGTCGTTATCCGAAACATGGCTGGGGAGTGCCACAAAGACCCTCAATGTGTTAAAAGTCCATCGAATCCTACAGGAATCCCGGCCTGGAAAATCTTTGACTTTGAATTCTTCGCATCGCATGGCCACCACAGAGGAGCTTCTCTCCTGAAGGGTAAATGGATTCTCTCCGCAAATCCGGACGATCTCCACCATCCGCACTTCAGGCAACCACCTAACCCTACCCTCTTAGGGTAGTTACTCCATGCCAATATGACTACCCTATGAGGGCCCAATACCATGGTGTGTCCCACCTATTTCATGGAGTCCCCTGGGGGTAGCCAGGTACTCCCATGGGAGTTCCATGGTATCTCCTAGGACTTCCAGATTCCTCTTACATTTCCTTGGGAGTCCCACCTCTGTGGGAGTCCCAAGTATTATATTCCCTGGGACTCCCTAAGCCAAGGGACTCCCATCTGATTCATTGGGACTCCCAGCCATATATGTACCTAAATTACTATTCTCTGGGACTCCCCAGGATGAGGGACTCCCATCTGGTTCTGGGACTCCCAAGTATATATGTACCTAAATCTCTATTCCCTGGGACTCCCCAGGAAGAGGGACTCCCATGGTTCTGGGACTCCCAAGTATATATGTACCTAAATTTTAAATGTGCCTGTCAGCAGCAAAAACCAAGCCTTATACTGTAACAAAGAGAGGGCTTGAAGCTTATAACAACCAAGACTTATACCATAACAAAAACCAAACCTTACATTATGCAGAGATGAAGAGAGAAGGCTTGAAACTTATAACTTAACCAAGCCTTGTACTATGACATCAACTTCAAACTTATAACAACCAAGCCTTATACTACAGCAGAGAGAAGGCTTGAAACTTAGAGTTTATTGACCGGTGATAAGTAAGTTGCATATGAACTCCCAGAGTGGGACTACTAGACTAAGTAAATTAATTGCATGTCTAGTAACTACTGATGTCCTCCCCACGGAAAGCATCTGCGAGGTCAATAGCCTCCAACGTATCAATCAAGTCAGCATCAAGACTCTCTACATCTGACACATCTATCTCGTCTACCCCAATGGATGGTCCAACTTCCTCTATATCATCATAGTCACCATACAAACGAGAGGTAACTTGTGCGATCCGAGCAGCTGTAATCTCATTATCTGTCGGACCCCAAGCTGGTACAATGGCGTCGGCAGGTAAGGATTGTAAAGACTTCTTCCATATCGACAGGACATGAAGAAGCTCATCCTTTCGTAACTGAAGCTGATAGCGTAACTCCAATGAATCTAAGACAAAATGAGGTGCCGCCATGCATTGAAATAATGAGATTACCTGTATGACCATAGGCAGAACAAAGAATGTTCCACTCCTCTGAATACCAATTTTGGAGCGCCCTACGTTCATGTTTGATGCGGTCTTCCTCTTCAATGCACCTATCAAGCTCTAATTGCGCGCGGATTCCGGACCTTACAAGATCATCGCAAAGCCACCGTGGTGGATCCGTCGTGGTGCCGTCAAGTGAATCTTCCAAGCCAGTATCCTGCCAAATTTCGTCGTCAATGTCCAGCGCAAACAGACCCTTCATGACGATCTTGGATGGGCAAACTGAGCCAGCAGGAGCCTTGCGCTGAGCTTTAAGCCGTAGCATTACATCACATAGATTATTGTAGTCACGAGCGAGTTTTTGTATGCTCGGATCGCGACGCTTCACGGAATCTTCAAGATGATGGTGCACTTTGCGCTCTATTTTATGGTACTAAGTAAACGCGGAGTGAAAAACATTGAAAGGACTTACCATTGACATGGTTGCGATATGATCTTTCAATACGGTCAAGCTCAAACTTTCGGGAGCGCAGCCTTTCGCGCAGGCGTAGCTTGAGGGCTCGGGCATTCATCCTCGCCGCAATGAAAGGGCTTCCTAGGAGCTTCTCAAGCTTGGTTCTTTCTTGAACACCGAGAGCTGACTCGGAAGCGTGGACCCGAGACTCTGCAGAACTCAAATCCTTGTTAGCTTCAGCTAGGCGCAGTTCTGCGTCACAAAGTTGATAGTCCGAAGCTGAAGGATCTAATATGATGTTTTCTTGCTCTTGTACGCGCTTCTTCAGGATGTCACGTGCTTTTCGAAGTCGAATCGCCTCAGAGACTGCATCCTTTCCCTGGTTCCTTGTCCGCCCTAGATAACTTGTTAATGCTCGGAATTGGGGATTAGCATTGGACATACGTGGAAGGGGTTTGGTCTGAGCATGTACCTGCGCAGACCATTCATCCCGGAGAACATTTTCAGCAAATCCACATTCTGTGAGAGCTACTTCAGCAGCGTATCGCTTTTCTTGGCAATGGCGCGATCGGCGAAGTAACCAGAGAGCCAGGCGACCAAGGCTTTCCTTATCTGCTTGTTGGACTTGTCGATCGAGAGTGTATACACGTTGATGTGACTATATAATATAGTAATGAGTTGCTATATTGTCCCAGACGAAGAAAGACTTACCCCACAGACACGTAAATAGGCAATTAACTTCTTAATAGAATTCCAAAAGCGTTCGCAGCCTTCACCATCGGAAAGTCCAAATCCGTTGCACTTTCGAGGGTGGTATATTATCTGGCAAGGCCACTGATGTCCGAACGCGTGAAACACGGAAATGGCAAAGATCAACCGATGGATGTATGCACTGAGAAAACCCCAGTTGACGCAACTCTTATGTAGCTGACAGCCAACATCGTAAAGCAGACCGACCGTGTAGTGCTGAGGTAGGTGTTGAAAGAGAGTCTCGACAAGCACCAACGCATAATGCTGTTTTTCGCCGGCAGATCGCATATTGACGATCCATATAACACGGTCATGGCGGCAGAGAAGAGCCATCAGCGCAGTGACGGCGAAAAACTGTGTGCTAGCCTTTTCACGTGTTTCATTGGCGGCTGTAAAGCTCTTCTCGCAGCCAGCCAAAACGGACCGTGGAACCTTCAATGGACCATCATAGCCGTCCTCTTCATCCGAGTCATGATCGGTTTTACTACTATCAGACGGTTTTTGGCGTTTCGGACCCTTCTTAGCCTTGCTCGGACGAATGCCCTCAACATATTCCTCCATCTTTGATGCGGTGGCATCTGATATGAAGACACTCCGAGGGTGCTCACGGGGTGGGTCAGACTGTCCTTCATTCTCTTTTTGCTTGAAGCATGCATCGACACATACAATGATATCGGGGCTGGTAATTGAATACGTCAAAAAGGTGACAGATATGGCAACGACACGACCTACACATTACCTCCAAGCCTCTGATTTGGATCTCCCCCGAAGCATAGAGGGCACCGTGAACGAAGATAATCACTGGGGCGGTCACGTGGGATTGGCATTGGAAAGGGAGTCCTCAAGCCATCAGTGTCTTCCGAACGATGTCGCTTCCGGGAAATGGGGGTGGAAGGTGGAACTGTTGAGCTGTTGAGGGGTGTCGAGGGCCGGGGATGTCTTGCGTTCGGAAGCGCATCTTCATCCTCGATTTCAACCATGGTGACTGGGGGTGGTCGGGTGCTAGTGTCTTCCGAACGATGTCGCTTCCGGGCAATGGGGGTGGAAGGTGGAACTGTTGAGCTACTGAGGGGTGTCGAGGGCCGGGGAAGTCTTGCGTTTGGGAGCGCATCTTCGAGAGGAAATTCTGGTGCTGGATTGCCTTCAACGGCGTCAACACGAGGTGGTTGTGTGGTGCGAGGAGTTGACTCGTTTAGAGAAACAACTGCTGTTGTATGAGACCCATCGTTATAACCTGTGATTATCGTCCGAACATGGTAGAGGACATTGTCAACATGTTTGGTAGTAGCGTCTTGAAGTCCGTTGTACCATTTCAAGGCTTCACTAAATCGGCGGCGGAGGGAATCCTGAACTTTCGGTCAGACCAAATTCACCTACCATTAACGCAATAAATACCTGAGTAGTAAGTTTATAACCTTGACTTTGAAGAAACTCTTCAACGGTGTTGCACCATGCAGTGGCATTGGGGGAAACATGAAGAAACAGTCGGGATACAAAGTCTAGAACTCGGATATCAACGGCCAGGGACGGCGCAAATGGTGCGGAAGGAAATAATCCGCGTTGAAGCAGCTGAACTGCGGCTGGTCGACAACTGCAAAATTGGAGTTTTAGCCTTTCAAGAACTGGAGCGCACTAGTTAGTATCTCAATTGCCTTGAAAACAGGAAAGAAACATACTGCAGAAACGAACCACAATAACATCTACTGCTCTTCTGATACATTGACAGTTGTGGGTGGTGGCTATAGTGTCCTCGGGGATTGGCAGGCGAAAAGATTCTGTCGAAGAAACGAGCCGCATGTACGGCATAATGAGGCGAGGGATCACTTCTTTTTTCCAACGATTAGTTTGGTTTTCACGTTTTCGTCGGTGATTAGAAACAAAGGGAGGAAAGTTGGCGGAAGGAGATGAAAATAACATGACGCCACTTGGATCTTCGAGATCGCCAGTGACATCAGCGGTTTGCGAGCTGTCGGCAGAGGGTGACGAACAGCTATTGAGGGGTCGATCACCAGCGAACCCGACCTGTCCTGGCAATGGCTTAAGATTTCTCCGCTGGCTAAATGTTCTCTCGTCTGGTAGGAGTACCAGTGGACGAATTCCACTGGGCCTGGAGAGGTAGTGGAAAGCCCGTCCGCTTATCGGAGTGTAAGACAACGGGCTCGAGGTTGGAGTGAAATCTTTTGGGATGCGAGGTCGCATATTGAACAGAGGTCAGGAATACGCGTGCGAGTGGAGGGAGGAGGTCGTTTGGAAAGTCGAAAGCGGAGTGGCTGTTTGGAAAGTCGAAGCGGAGTGGCTTGATTTGACAAATGGACCGGTTATGTTGAAATCACGCCGAGGCGTTGTGCCAATTGCACCATTGTCCGCCCAGAATGGGCATCAGATCATCAGATAGAAATTGTGTAGATAGATAGTACAAGCATTCTATAATCTAGGAGGTAGTGAGACAGGCGACGCATAGTCGAACCTGTAATGACCGACGCAAAGTCAAAGTCAAAGGGATTAACTAAGTACGACTGACGCAAAGTCAAAGTCGCAACGTGAATGACGCGGAGTCAACTTCGCGGACAGAAACAGATACCTTGGAGCTAGAGGTGGTCAATTAGCAGGAAAAATGGTAAGGAAAGTGTTGCTTCCATACCGATATGATAGGCGTGTTGTCTGTAAGACCTTCCAAACGTGAGGAGGTGCGTTGAAAGCAGGTGTCTAGGACCATCCAAACGTGAGGAGGGTCAAGAGTTGAAAGGTTTGTGCATACCGTTGAAGCCATCTAAGGGCGTCGAAAGCAGATGTTTGGGACCGTCCGAAGGGTTGGGCGTCGAAAGCAGGTGTTTGGAACCGTCCGAAGGGTGACGGTCGTCGAAAGCAGGTGTTTGGGACCGTCTGAAGGGTGACCGTCCAAACGTGAGGGTGGTTAAGCAGGTGTCTAAGACCGTGCGAAGGTGAGGAGAGTCGTGCGTTACAAATGTTTGTACGTACCGTTGAAGCCATGAATGGAGACCGTTCAAAGGTGAGGCTGTAGGAGGGTAAGGGCTGGCAGAGAAGAGTGGGGAAAGGAGGGTAAGGGCGAGTAGAGAAGAGTGGGGATGAACAATGATGGGATCGAGTGTTGAGCACAGCGCTCATCAATCGATAAATAAATTTCTCACGCCTCGTCTCTGAGTCATCATCGATAACTCACATACTTCCCGCTCACCCACGTCCGTCTCCCGCTCACTTACGTCCCGCTCACCTACGTCCGCCCATATTCTACCGCGCTCGTTATCACATTGGTATAGCCTCGGTACGTGCTAATACTCTCTTACCACTCCTTTTCACTAATCTCATTGGCAGTCAACTGTCTCAGTACGTGCTTCCTGTCCCCTCTCCCGACGAAATTCGACTTTGCGTCGTTTTGTCCCATTGAATGACTTTGACTTTGCGTCGGTCGTTCCCTTTTCGTTCGTGATGTTGACTTCGCGTCCATCACACCCAGATTTGACTTCGCGTCGTCTGGGCCATCTCCTACTGTCAATTGGAAGGACCACGCACAGGTGAACTTGTGCGTATATAGTTACTCCCTCAGGATAATGTTAGACTTACTTTACAGTCAATAGACATCAAGAACACTCAGGATCTTGTCCTATTCGCCCAACGGTCCCATCGAAATCGAAGGTTTGCCACGCATGTAGATATTAAAAAGGGTGAACTCATTTTGTCTATTTGCAGCGTCGATCGAATCTCTGGAACTCGGGAACGGTGTATGTGGACCTCTGTATTTCAACTATACGAAATTTGACTCTGCGTCGTTTCGTTCAGTTCACGACTTCGACTTTGCGTCGGTCATTCTTTCAAAACTCGTGTGTGACGTTGACTTTGCGTCGCTCACGACTAGATTGGACTTCGCGTCGTCTGGGTTATCTTAGGCAGCATCTACCTGCGTGCCTGGTCACCTTGTGCGTAAAGTAGACTTTCCGGCTGATTCCTTAGACTAACAGACCTCAAAAGAAATCTCTACGCATCCTAGGGTGTGAATCCTCAACACATTTTACCCTACAACTTGACAGTTTGACTATGTATGTAGATATCAAATAACCGAGAACATTAAACTGACTTTGACTTTACTCAGATTCGGCAGCGATCACTTGAAATATTGTATGTAGACAATCAGATCCCCGTGTATTGAATCTAAGTACTCGTAGATAGCATGCAAAACGGTTCCATAACACCTGAGCTACTGGAGAAGGACCCATGCCTACTCCTTCGTAATCGAGGAAAACCACATGAACGTGCGTCTCTGCCGTCACCTTCTGGTGCAGTATACTAAATGTGCCACAGCCGTACAATGGTGCGATGGACGGGTGGGAGCTGTTGTTTCAGGCGGATATTTCTTCGTCACCAGCCCAAACATGGACGTGGTATATCAACCACCCCTTGGCAAAAATCGAGCGATGTTCCTTCGACGCGACTACCGTTACGCAGATGACGACCCACTTCTCTGGCCCCAGCCATACGTCAGCTCAGCCTGCCACCATGGCGCAATCCTGCGCCGGCCAGAACATGATGACCGAATGGATATATTGTGGTGGAATCCCAACCAGACGGATCTCCTGTTCAATTCTTCTGACCTCGTCCTTGGCATCGGCAAAATTCCTCATGACCGTTTGGTCCAATTTCAACAATTAGTGGGGGAGCTCCAGGACCGTGTTCAGGCATACAAAACGGACAAATCTCATCCAACGAAGAATTCGGAGATCATGACACTTTCGAACTGGTTAAGCCAGGGGCTCTCTCGTCTTGAACGACTACCAATGGATTTTACACAGCTCAAATTCTCTGTGGCTGAAGTTCAAAGAGCTTATTTAGAATTGACGGCTGGACTCGACTATCTCTATATCTACAAACCTCGAATGGACGGGATTCTCCCACCCGCTACCGAAACTGCGCGGACCATTGGTGTATTCACCATGGATTCGACTATTGTGCAAGAGTTTACGAGGGCTGGGCTACCGGTCTGGTTCATGCGCCCCACTCCTACCTTGCATGGTGTTCGTATTGATTCAATCGTTGAAACAAGAAAGCCAAACGAATTTCTTGAACTTCGTGATGCCGAAACGAAGTTCGATACTGTTTTCTGCGGTTCAGCTGACGATCCAAAAAAACGCAGGGCAATTGCGCTTCACTCACGCCAGTTTTTTTCTTACTACAATCCTTTCACCCTTTATGTTGTGACACCGAGGAACGGTCCTGGATTACCAATGAGAACGCAGGGAAATCGCCAGGCAACACTGCCTACACGCACTATGGAACATGGCCAGGCAACACTTCCTACACACGCTATCGTAGGGCGTCAGGGGGATCACGTTATGGAAGGTCGCCAGGGGAATAGCTCTAACCGTGCTGTGAAATCGAGAGCTGGTGCACCATGTGAGTTTTTCATTGAACGACATCTATGCTACTGACAAACATATCTTGTGCAGACTACCGTTCTGCAAAAGGTGCGGGTCGTAACAAGTTTCTCGAGATGTCCAGCCCATTGCTTCCACCTGTGATTGGTGTTTGGAGCGATGCTCTTGCCGCCGTTGACACCAACCCGGAGAATATCATAAATCAGGCATCCAGTCCAACCGATCGCGGATATGTCTTTCCTGATCCGGGATTATTCATTGGCTGCGCGAGTGAAGAAAAAACGACACAATACCTTCATCAATGGTTGCGCCTCAGAACCGCCTTCATCTACCGCCTCAGCACACCATCATCTTCCGCTCAGCCACTGGGGGGTCAAGTGTGGCGTGACCTCCTAAACTTCTCCGACGCTAAGCAGCCCTCTGGCTCCAAGGACACTAAGTCATCTCGCCGTACAGAAACGCTGAAGGAGCTACTTGGTGATTGCTTGCATCAAACCGGTGTCGAGCTGGCCTCAAGTGATACAGTTACCCCAACGTTTTGGAGGGAGTCTGGACTCATGCCGGGTGTTCCGATTCAACACCGCATTGTCCAGGAGATCCTCTACGAGCTGTTTAGCCTCAACTTTCGCTATGAACTTTTAGCGTTGCACTCACGTGCCCAATCACTTGACGCCGATGACCAGGATGCTGTCGTTGCTTGCTTTCCAGAGCGGTCGATGTTGGTGGTGGAGCTGGCATGCGGCAACATAGGGTTAGCTGCAGATAAGCTGGAGGACCGTCTCCCATACCTCCTTTGCATGAAGAGATTAATGTCGACATGGGCGGGCCCCATCCCGGAGGCCATCAAATCTCAAGACGAATTTGGAGATTGTTTTTCAGTGGCTGAAATTGAGGAGTTGGAGCGCCAAGTGGCTCGTTTCTATACCCAGTCTTTCTTCAATCATTTTGGTCGTGCAGCCATTGTTCCCCGTCGACTCACTTAGGTCATCTTGAGCACTGCTATATCACATTCCATATGTAATTATTTCAATCTATACTTTTTTGGCATTTGCCGGTGGAAGTGGCTTGAAGAAGACAATGCCACAGGTACGTGTTCAACTTATATTGTTCGCCTTGACCCGCCGGTTCAACAAGTTTCCCTCTGACCTTAACCACGACCTTGACCTAGCCTTCGACATGCCGCAGAATACCCAACGTGTGACACGTTCTCGGAAGGCCAAGATTCCTGACATACCTCTTCCCGAAACCCGCGCAAAACCTGGTACCAGAAAGCGCGAGGCAAAGGTCCGATTTTTTATCGCGTAGCCAACGCTTTTCACTCATCTGAAGATATAGGATGTCGTGAAACCTCGTGCCAGTAAACGCAAAGCCATCATGGAAGATGCTGAGGTACGGGCAATTCCAATTTTTTTAACGCTTGCCTTACAACTAAAAAAAACTGCAGGCTCCTATGAGAGTTATGAAGAAACCTACCGTTGCAAATGAAGGAGAGGCTGAACCGACAGAAGCTGAGGTGGGCGAACAACAAGAAGAAGACGACGCTGGTGGATCAGGATCCTTACCTGCGGAAAACCCAAATGTACGGAGTCTCCCATCTACTCAATTTTTTTCTCCCTTATGTTGAGCCATAGACTATAACTGGTAGCGGTGAACAATCCTCCATCACTCTTCCTACGGAATCTGGTGGACTCAGGAACAAAGAGGTAGGAGAACGGCTCTCAGCCCATTGCCTCACTGACTTTTGAAAATATAGAATGGCGATGACGTAGAGCACATTGCCACTACTACTCGCGACATGCGGCCACCTCAAAAACCAAGACCAAGACCCAGACCCAGACGATTGATTACTGGGTCAGATTCGGAGAACAATGACAACCAAGATGATCAATTCCCCTCATCCCGCAGAGGTTATCGCCAATTGCGACCTATTATCCGCGACGACAGCTCAGATGCCGACGATGCTATTTTTAAAGGCTTCACTTCGCGTATCCCTAAACTCAGTGACAGAAAGGCTGACATCGACATGGAGGACGCTCAGTAAGATCCTGAGCATGAAGACCTTTCTGGTGGAGCGGCCATTGCAGGAGAAGATGACCCTTTCAATATGCTACCTCAATCTCCTTTGGCCCCGACCACCCCTTCTGTGATTTCTACCCATTCACCGGCAGCCATTGATCTCAATTCAAAGCAAGACCGTGAGGCTCAGGAAGGCGATTGCTTCATTGAAACAAATGATGCCTCCGATTCAGATTACGAGGAAACTGTTGGGGACGCCAACATGAGACGGCCAGAACGTCCGCGGCATCGTGATTTGACCACAACGGAGGAACAGGAGGAAGTGGACGACGAGGAATCTGCTGCTGAGGTGAACCTATCTCCTCGACGCTTCACGGCCTCCCAAAAGAACAAGGGTCGTGCTTGTGTCAATGTTGACAATGGCTCTTCTGGCGCTGAGGACGAACTGGATGAGGAACCTTCGACGGTTGAGCCGTTGAAGAAGTTCGTCAACAAGAAAGCCAAGGATGCCACTGACGTTGCGCGCCTGCTTCAGATGGTGCCTTCACGTAAATCTAGGCTTGATAACGGGGATTCAGATGCTGAAAGCCAACGTTCCGGTGGAGACGACATCCCCGAGGCCCCAAAGGAGAAGTTGACTCGATTACGTTCAGATGCCAATGGCGCGTTTGAGCTGGTGGATGAGGATGAAGCTGACGATGAGCCGGAAGCCACCCACCACAAATCAGGTCCTCTTCCAAAAGCCGCGAAAGAGGCCGCGTTCGCCGCTCATCAAGAGTATCTTGACAAGCTTGAAGCCTTGGCTTTGGAGTACGACAAACCTATGAAACTGTTCCTCCGACTTGTTGCTCAAGATGTCAAGTCAAGTCATCGTTTGAATCCTTGGTCAGCCTTCCAGCACTGGTATGCTCGACATGGCGATGTCAAGAAAACAAAAGATGGTGTGTATATCCAACGCCTATTTTCCATCAACAGCTAATCATCAAACAAAAAATCTAGTTTCTGCCCAGGCATGGACAAAGTTCGTTGCCAGACTTTATAACGAGGAACTCAAGACTTTGGGAGCGAGTGCTTCTCAAGAAGATATACGTGAACATTTCAAAGAACAACTTGATTATTATCGCGGCGTCATAGGGGCATTTTTGGAATCAAAACGAGATGATGGGAAGTTCCCGCAAGTCGTGAAGAAAGTGGTTGAGCCGTTTGTTAAATTGGTGCGTTGTTATGTCAATACTATATCTTGTCACTAACACATATTAAAGGCCACTCGAGCATACGAAGAGACGGGGATTCAGGTCTTTGGATTTGCCATCGATGTCAATGCCAATTCAACCTCAAGCTTGGCTTGGGGAGGCAGCCGTGAGTATGAGAAACTTCGCGAACGCTACAAGTCCTCTGTGGAGACTCAGCTGAGAGATTACGAGGGGATGTTCAAGATGGCGGAGATGGACCAGCGATTGACGGCCGCAAGCGGTACATTAATTCACTGCGAGCCAAGGTCAACTGAAAATAAGCGTGATTGCCTTATGCGAGTCCTGGGAGAATTTCTGCGCGGTGATCTGAGTAAGTTTGGCTATTATCTTTTCTTAGACTCTTTTACTAACGCTCTCTAGTCGAAATCTTAAGTGCCCGGAACGAGGAAGGCAGTAACATGAAGAAGGTCACGATGAACTGGTCTTGGACGGACTTCGCGTACAAGAACGAGGTCACCATCCTCGGTTGGGGGCTGGTGGATGACTACCCTCGTGAAGGATTTTCACTGAAGGGGAAGGGAAAGGGAGAGGCTTTTTTTCAAAGAATTGTCCAGACGCGCATCAATGAGTACAAACAACAGAAGCGCGGTAGCCTCATGGTGAACGATGAAGAACCTGATGATTCGGTCATCTCACCGTATGTTCGCATTGTCTCATGGACGTCAGGTGAGTCTCAGCCAACCGTCCTTATAATCTGTGTTGTTGATTATACATTATTAGAGCAACGAAAGCTTCGCGTGGTGAAACAGCAAGACATCCCCCTTGTGGTAGATGTTGCAGGAAAGGTTCTATCCACTGTCTTCAACTCGAAGATGTGGGCAAAGGCGGTTGAAGTCACTGGCCATAAGAAGTCTCATCAGAAGTCAGCGCGACCACAAAGCGACGATGAAGAAGACTTTGAAATGCCCATCGAGATACCGCCTCGTCGTCCACCTCCCCGCCCAAACACTGTACAAGAGGGTCCCGAAGCAGTGCCCCCTCACTTGCGATTTTCGCCAGATCGTGAACAGACTTATAATCATTGGGCTCCTAGTAACTTCGACGCATGCCCTCCTCACTCAAGATATACAATAGATTCTCAAGGTCACGATCAGGACACTTACAATCGCCCACCTAGCAATGCTGGTGCACGTCCCCCTCACTCTCGATCTACAGCGGATTCAATCGATCGTGGTCGCGATTATCCTCGACGAGCACCCAACAACTGTGAAACAATTCCCCCTTACTCTCGATCCATGGCAGATTCCATTAATCATTATCCTCAACGAGCAGCTGACAACTTTGATGCACATCCCCCTCGCTCTCGGTCCTCTCGCGATCATGAACAAACTCAGCATCATCAGCCAATCAAGTCTCGCGGAGATCTCGTTTACAACGACCATCTAGACTATAATCACAACATCTATCATGGGGATGAGGATGACCATTACCGGTTCACTCGTGATTACACTCCTGCCCCCGGTCAAAGTCGGTACTATGAAATTGACTCTGAACTACGAGGGGGTGGCCGAGAGCCACACGGACCTCCAACGCTCGATCATCGCCCTGCAAGGAACAATGACGACTATCCATCACATGACCACTACAATGCTGGCTCTTCTGGTGCTCAGCGCCATCGCCTCCCGGAAGATGGCCAGGGCCTCTCAAAGCGGCCATACAACACAGAGGATATGGGACGGCTTGGTGTTGGCTCTTCTGAACTACAGCCGCCTCAGAAAAAGCGGAAGATATCGGAACTGGAGGAAGGGACACGCAGGGTTGTTGCACTTCCTACACGGCGAATTCCATCCGGAAGCCATCCAACGGATAATGGTAGGCCTGGCTCTTCGAAGGATGCAAGTTGGGGTCATCCTTCAAACGCAAGGCGTTAAATTGCACTTCTCTCATGATTATAGTATTTGAACTTGTCCTCTAGCGTTCCTTGGTATTACTTATATGATCTTCATGTATGTATATGCCTTATGTATATGCCTTATGTATATATATGCCTTTGTATGTTAAGATCACCTGACTTATATTTCCGTGAAACGTTAAGTCATCTGTGAGTGGTTTGTAAAATAAATTTGAGGCGGCCAATATACTATGTTAATAAGTTTCAAGCCTTCTTTCTGCTATAGTATAAGGCTTGGTTATAGTATAAGGGTTGGGTTATAAGTTTCAAACCTTCTCTCTGTATAGTGTAAGGCTTCAATTGGTTATAAATTGGTTAATAAGGCTTGGTTAGGTTATAAGTTTCAAGCCTTCTCTCTGTTACAGTATAAGGCTTGGCTTTTGCTACTGACAGGCACATATATTCATGGAAATAGCAATTGAGGTACATATATACTTGGGAGTCCCAGAACCAGATGGGAGTCCCTCATCCTGGGGAGTCCCAGAGAATAGTAATTTAGGTACATATATGGCTGGGAGTCCCAATGAATCAGATGGGAGTCCCTTGGCTTAGGGAGTCCCAGGGAATATAATACTTGGGACTCCCACAGAGGTGGGACTCCCAAGGAAATGTAAGAGGAATCTGGAAGTCCTAGGAGATACCATGGAACTCCCATGGGAGTACCTGGCTACCCCCAGGGGACTCCATGAAATAGGTGGGACACACCATGGTATTGGGCCCTCATAGGGTAGTCATATTGGCATGGAGTAACTACCCTAAGAGGGTAGGGTTAGGTGGTTGCCTGAAGTGCCATCCGAGCCCCATTCAGTACCTTGGGTATATATTCGCCTGTTGTACTCTACTCCATCGCATCTGACTTTTCTTTGTTAGATACTCAATCGAAGAGGCGTGCAGTGCCATTCCTGTCAAACCTCTCTCGGAACGCGCTGACCAAGTTTGGATTCTCATGAAGGAAATCTATTATATCTACAATACTGACTACTTCGCCTGGAACCGGTCCTACTTCTCCCTGGCGTTTCAAGAAATAGGAACAAAATTTGTTGGAGGGTGGGCCATGAACCAACATTATAACTGGGACCCGATAAAACAGGGAGAGATGGTCTCTATTGAAGACAGGGAACACGGCGTGATCAATAATGGTATCCTCACTCAATCGGGGTTCAAACATCAAGTCGGCAACAGCAGGATGATGATTGGAGTGGGCAGCCCTTGGTGGAGTCCCTCGCCATACGACGCTTTGTGCCAAGGAGTACCATTCCTCAATCCTGTATGTTCCGGCTTACGGCGTAAACGCTCTGCCACTTGATATTTATCATTTGCTTTAGATTAAAAGTTATGACCATAGTGATCCCTGGAACAAAACGAAGTGGTACTACTCACAGCATCCATCCCTGGCTCCTTACGACCCTCCGTAGGTTTCATCCAGCCTACCTTCGAACTAACCGCTCAAACCAACTTCAATTTAGGTATGTTTACAACGTCCACCATCAAGATTATGCCGGATTTGTCAATGCCGTTAAAGCAGCTTCTACAACGGAGATAGGGAGGTCCGTTGTCCTTCTATTATATACGTAGCTCTATGAATTGAACGATCCTACAGATTTATCCCTGAGCATATGACCGAGACGGCTGTCCAGGATCGCCTTGTCCTCCTTATGGAAACTGACTGGAAAACACAAGCGGAGGCTCTACTAGCGGAACGACTGAAGGAAGGGGGGGATGCATATGTGCGATTCGATCACCCACCCACTTTCTGCTTCTGACTGACTCTATCCCTAGGTCTTTGACATTTAGACATAATTGTGACACGCCTTGCCTCTCTCGAAAACTTGGGCAGCATGTAAAATTGAATTGGATAAACTACTATTAATTTTCTAGGTGTACGGTATGATGTTGAAGCTACATCCACAAAAAGGTCAAATATTCGCTGACCATATAGAATAATAACTACAGAGTTTGTCTCCGGACAAGTGGTTAGTGGCACCGCCACTGTACAGCCTCCACAGGCCGCGTCAATGCTTGACTGCGTTGTCACGCTCTTCCGCGTTGGTAGTATAGATGTGGTCTCCAATCGCGGCGTTGTGCAGCCTGTACAACGGGACAGTGTGGAGCTCTTCAATGGGGAAGATGTGGCCGCTTGTTCCTTCGCTGGTATACCCGAGCCTGGTAACCGCATTTTGCATTTCTGCGGCGTTGGTAGTGTAGAAATGGTCATTGGCACGTGCGTTGTATGCCCTGAGCAGGGGAACAGTGGTCTTTTAGCCGCCCGTTTACCTGCAACAGGCTCGCGAAGCTTGTGGACTTCGGAGGAGGATTCGTGATTTGAAGAATATTAAGAGCTGACCTCCGAAGGACTCGCAGCAGCAAAACCAACGATGGCAGCGACGAGAGCAAGTGCGAAGCGCATGTTTGCTTGAGATGTAGCAGTCCGGAAAGAAGGTTGGGTATCGTTTATTCAAGATAACGGGAGTTGAGCGCGATGGCGACGGGAAGACATTTGGAAGACATTGATTATTTTTTGACTATTTAAACGTGGACGCCGTCCCTATATTTAGAATTCCTTGATTGCCCTTGGGCCTTGCCCCTTGCCAGTGAGTTTTACCCATGCATGCATTATAATGAGCTTACTCTCTCTCATGTCGTCCAAGAACACTCTCTGGGTCAGAATCCTCATTCTTATCGTCGCCACTGTCTTTCTCGCTACGCTCTTTCATCAAGCAAGATTTGGGAACTGGAAATCCCTCACAAACAATTTCAGGAAGAACTCTGCCCCACTACCTGCAGCTTCAACAGAACGTTATCGCGAATCACCTCCGTCTCTCGAGGCGCATTTTGTGCCACCTGACTTGGAACGTCAAGACTACCGAGAATGGAACGCCCGTACTTTAAGAGATCTTCATTCGTGCATTGCCTTGGATAATTGTGGGCCCAACCAGCGCAAGGTTGCCCTATTGGCGGCTCATTGGTTTCAGCAAGCTGTAGTGCACGGTTTCAAAGGAGGAGAAGGAATATGGTGAGCGCTGTACTTTTGGAACTACTATCTCTCATGTTGATGAATTTACAGGGGGGTATCTGTGGTGAGCTGTTTCTGACGCGGCGGCTTGGTAGCCTAAACTCACTGGTTCCCAGTACAAAAACCTCCGAAGGCTGGGCTACACGACACTTTTCGCGACTAGCTTTGGTAGGACACATTATTATGTCTTCCAAGACCAGTCTCTCATGTCGTTGGCAGAGGAAGCTCTCTTCCAGTATCGAATGTTTCCCGACCTTGTCAAGGTACGTCTTTGAAGGTTCGGACGTCCCTCTTGCAGTCTTACCTAAAAATTATCAAGGTCGTTATCCGGAACAGGGCTGGGGAGTGCCACAAAGACCCTCAATGTGTTAAAAGTCCATCGAATCCTACAGGAATTCCGGCCTGGAAAATTTTCGACTTTGAATTCTTCCCATCACATGGCTGGCACGGAGGAGCTTCTCTCCTGAAGGGTAAATGGATTCTCTCTGCAAATCCGGACGATCTCTATCATGGTGAAGCGCCAAGCCCTATTCAATACCTTGGGTATATACTCGCCTGTTGTACTCTACTCGATCGCATTTGACCTCTTTATTAGTTACTCAATCGAAGAGGCGTGCAGTGCCATTCCTGTCAAACCTCTCTCGGAACGCGCTGACCAAGTTTGGATTCTCATGAAGGAAATCTATTATATCTACAATATTGACGACTTCGCCTGGAACCGGTCCTACTTCTCCCTGGCGTTTCAAGAAATAGGAACAAAATTTGTTGGAGGGTGGGACATGAACCAACATTATAATTGGGACCCGGAAGAACAGGGAGAGATGGTCACTATTGAAGACAGGGAACACGGCGTGATCAATAATGGTATCCTCACTCAATCGGAGTTCAAACATCAAGTCGGCAACAGCAGGATGATGATTGGAGTGGGCAGCCCTTGGTGGAGTCCCTCGCCATACGACGCTTTGTGTCAAGGAGTACCATTCCTCAATCCTGTATGTTCTGGCTTACGGCGTAAACGCTCTGCTTGATATTTACCATTTGCTTTAGATTAAAAGTTATGACCATAGTGATCCCTGGAACAAAACGAAATGGTACTACTCACAGCACCCATCCCTGACTCGTTACGACCCTCCGTAGGTTTCATCTAGTAGCCTACCTTCGAACTAACCGTACAAAACAACTTCAATTTAGATATGTCTACAACGTCCACTATCAAGATTATGCTGGATTTGTCAATGCCGTTAAAGCAGCTTCTACAACGGAGATAGGGAGGTCCGTTGTCCTTCTATTATATACATGGCTCTATGAATTGAACGATCCTATAGATTTATCCCTGAGCATATGACCGAGACGGCGGTCCAGGATCGCCTTGTCCTCCTGATGGAAACTGACTGGAAAACACGAGCGGAGGTTCTACTAGCGGAACGACTGAAGGAAGGGGGGGATGCATATGTGCGATTCGATCCTTCATCCAGTTTCTGCTTCTGACTGACTTTATCCTTAGGTCTTTGAGATTTAGACATGATTGTGACACACCTTGCTTCCTCAGGTCGGCAACGTTCCGAGGCTACGACATATCTTTCGAAAATTCTCAAGACGTTGGGCAGCTTGTAATATTGGATTAGATAGACTACTATTATTATTAATTTTCTAGGCTGTACGGTATGATGTTGAAGCTACCTCGACAAAAAGGTCAAATATCCGCATATCCTGTCCAGGTAGAATAATATCCCAAACATACTGACGCACAGCGGTTGTCTCCCTACGGGAATATGTAGCCCGCAATACCCTCCTGGGTATATCCCAAATTATTGCTTGCATTATCCCGCTCAGCGGCGGACATGGTATAGAAGTGGTCCGTGGCACCGCCACTGTAGAGACGGTAGAGAGGAAGGCCTCCACAGGCCGTGTCAAGATAGACATATCCGGTAATCCCCTCTTCGGTATACCCAAGCTCCTTGACAGCGTTGTCACGCTCTTCCGTGCTGGTGGTATAGAAGTGGTCTTGAATCGCAGCATTGTACAGCCTGTACAACGGGACAGTGTGGAGCTCTTTAATGGGGAAGATGTGGCCAGTTGTTCCTTCGCTGCTATACCCGAGCCTGACAACCGCGTTTTCCATTTCTGCTTCGTCTGTAGTGTAGAGGTGGTCAGTGGCATATGCGTTGTATGCCCTGAGCAAGGGAACGGTGGTTTCGCGAAGTCCACAAGCTGCGCGAGCCTGTTGCAGGTAAACGGGCAGGTTACTCAAGAGGATTCGTGGTTTAAAGAATATTAAGAGCTGACCTTCAAAGGACTCGCAGCAGCAAAACCAACGATGGCAGCGACAAAAGCAAGTGCGAAGCGCATGTTTACTTGAGATGTAGTAGTAGTTCTTCAAGGTTCAAGTTGGGGGAGCTGGAGAACTGGGTATGTTCGGCTGCCTTTTTATGTTGCGCATGAAGCCGACGTGTCGCTCAGGGAAACCACAATGTCAAGCCGCGGATGGCCAGTTTGGGGTCTATTCTTCTGGTATTTGAATGATATTTCGCCACTCTTCGGTTACGGTGGAGGGGCGCGCAAGGGTCGGGTCTGGGTGTCTTTTCTTTTTCGGCTCAAGTCCGGCCAATTTAGCAGTTGTCACCAAGAGACGGGAACTAAGTAAGTGAAGATTGAGTCAAGAGCTCTATAGTCTCTGAGAACATTGACTCTTGTAAGTCAAATACATAGAGGCCGTCAGGCAAGGAATTTGGACAAGTTGGACGCGTGGTGAATATAAGCGCCAGGAGAAACAAATTCGTGGTATCAGGTTCGCTCTGTGAGTGTCAGAGGCATGTGCCATGTGGAGAAAAGTCAATGATTGTTGACAGCCGATGTAAATCGTGATCATTTCAAGAAAGTCAGGCTTCAGCGAGAGAGTTTTGGTACAATGTATCCAATGCAAGAGGTCAATTGTTGTCGTTTGGAAGCAGAACTGAATTGAAGTTTATGTTGAAATCAAATCAGCAAGCGTAAACTCTTCGTGTGATCAAGATAAGAAAGGGAATAATATTCCGGTTGTCTCTGTGGGGTCCAGAGGCAAACGGATGAGTAACTACAGTACAAGGCCTCGTATATATATGTAGACTACGAAATATAAGGGGGTAAATGTGAAATACCCCTATGGAGCCACGGAAACAATCAATGGAAGGAATGTGCCTGAAATCCAACTGAAATCCGAAGATGGGGCGCATTGCGCATGCTCGTAAAACTCCCGAAATTCCAACAGTTTATCAGAAAAGGGGGGAAGAATTATGTTCACGTAGAAGAGAAGAAATTACATTGAGTTGTCAAGAAATGCAAAGGATTTGAGGAAGTGGTGCGCCAAAAATCGTGCAACGCTGTCAAAGTTTCACAAACATATGTAGTAACTAAGATGTAAGTATATACGACCGCGCACGTATAGTGTCTAGTTCCAACCTGAGAGTATTGTCAGTTATGCAGAAGAATATCCCAAACATACTGACGGACAGAGTTTGTCTCCCTAGTAAGGGAAGATGTAGCCTGCGATACCCTCCTGCGTATATCCCAAATTATTGCTCGCATTATCCCGCTCAGCGGCGGACATGGTATAGAAGTGGTCCGTGGCACCACCGCTGTAGAGACGATAGAGAGGAAGGCCTCCACAGGCAGTGTCGGGATAGACATATCCGGTGATCCCCTCGTTGGTATACCCAAGTCTCTGCGCAGCGTTGTCACGCTCTGCCGCGTTGGTGGTATAGAAGTGGTCTCTGATCGCGCCGTTGTACAGCCTGTACAAGGGGACAGTGTGGAGCTCCTGAGTGGGGAAGATGTAGCCGGTTGTTCCTTCGTCGGTATACCCGAGATTGGTGACCGCATTTCGCATCTCTGCAGCGTTGGTGGTGTAGAAGTGGTCAGTACCACCTGCACTGTATGCCCTAAGCAGGGGAACGACATTCCTGCAATTTCCACAAGCTTGGGGAGCTCCTCCGCGAGCCTGTTGCAGGTGAACGGGCGGGTCAAGAGAATTGGTGATTTGAAGAATGTTGATAACTGACCTCCAAAGGACTCGCAGCAGCAAGCCCAACGAGGGCAGCAACAAAAGCAAGTGTGAAGCGCATGTTTGCTTGAGGCGTAGTAGTAGTTCTTCAAGTTGGGGGTACTGTAGAACTGGGTATGTTTGCCTGCCTTTTTATATCAGTATGAAGCCGATGTCGCTCAGGGAAACCACAGTGTCAAGCTGTGGTGGCCAGTCCGTTGTTGTAGATCCGACTCCATTAACACGTTTGAGGTAGAGCAGAGTGGATTCTTTTGATATATTGTATAAGCATCGATTCTTGGAATTCTAATGCACGTTGAACCTGGTCAGAAGCGGATCCACCACCGGGTCGAGACTCACCGAGTAGTAAATTGAGGCACAGGTTCGTTCAGTTTTCCGTCTGAAAAAAATGACAGCAATGTGGAATCTAGTGCGGGAAAAGAAAATGTTTCTGATAAGTCTTCCAAGAAAACGGACGCAATAGTAAATAGAATCACGGACGTCAGGGACAATGCTGGAGGATGAGGAGGCCACAAGAGCGAGTGCGGCGAAGAGCATTTTCGTATGAAACGTAGTAGACTTCAAGCTGTCGAAAATGTTGAACGGGCCTGTTTCGCCGCTGATGTCTCCGTCAGGGAAACTACAATTTCAAGTGGTAGCCGCTGTAACTGCGAGCCATATCGGAAGGGCTTCGATTCTTGTGAGTCAAACAAAGAGGGCGTCAGACAAGGAATCCGGTACGGGAACGCGCGGTGAATATACGTGCAAGGAGAAACGGATTCATAACAACAGGTTCGTTCTTCTATGAAATGTCAAAAGTTGAATTAGTGCGGGAGATGTTTAGAAAAGATGTGATAGCATGCAACACCTGCTTCTTCCATAAAAAGGACGTCATAGTTCAATGATAGCTGCTGTAAATCGTGGACGTTAGGGACGATGTTGATTAATTAGCGTGCCGTCCCTCCACTCCTTGAGCGCCCTAGGTAATTCAGCGCCGATTCGCAAACAACATATGAATGACCAAGGAGGACAGGCTAATATCAGCCGACTACGGGTCCAACATCCGTCAGTGAGTTTACTCATCTGAAAGGCATATGAAACGCATACGGAGGGGGGTCATCGAGCGCTACAGCTTGAAGAGAAAAGCCTCGAGCTGGGTTGAGCGAGAAGTAGAACTAATATATTTGAGATTAACTATTTCCACAGGACCAACAGTACAGAAATAAACAAAGCGAGCTAGAGAGAAGATGACGATGAGCAAAAGAGCATTGAAAAACACTTGCAGGAGGAAATCAGAGAAGCCGTAGGTTTCATTGTCCAAGCCTCCACGTGAGTCCCCGAGTCAGCACACGTACGCCAAAACGGCACACATGCACATGATCCCCGCCAGGAGCGAAGACGACTCTTGGAAACCCAGCGGAAGCAAGTTGTTCAAAGAATGGATGAACTTGTTTTCGTCGTATTGGAAGGGGGAGGAATGTAAACTCACCCAAAACTACAGTAATCCCCGAGGTGATTCCGAAAAACGAGAAAGCCTAGAAGAGATGAGAGTTAGCATCTTGTAATGGGGTCTCATTTTGAGAAGATAAAGAGGTCAGCAAGAGTTTTTTGGTACAGAGTGTCCACAAGAGGTTGATTGCTCTCGTTCGGAAGCAGAACTGAATTGAAGTTCATCACAAAAAGGGAGGGAGAAAGGGCATTGTAATATGGTCAACTCACCAGGACGACATGGACGATGACGAACAAGCTTAGAACAAGTTGTGATTGGGGGTCCTTATATGTAAACTGTGCAGTTTATTTTCATCTCCGATATCGGAGATTGAATGCAGCTTTGGTTTTCTCCAACGCTCTTCTCTTGCTCCCAACCAGCTCCCAACTTGCTCCTTACTGTTTTCGATGTGCTAACCTACAACATTCTCCTCCTCAACTTCTTGTGAGTGTGTTTTTCTTGTCGATGGCGACGACGATACTTTCCATTTCCGAGTCGGTGACACCGATGATCCTCACTCGTAACATGCATCACCAACTGAGCCTTTTTTTTTTCTCCCGTCTTTTTATTCTGCTGTTCATCGGGAGAATGCTGACTCGTCGCCTTTCTTCAGGTTGAATGTAAGCGACACAACTTACGTCAACGGCTGCGGACGAGCACTTGTGAGCGGGCGACAACGTCGATGGGCCCTTTGCTACACACACCACCCGCTGAAGCTTCCCCGTTTTGACTCCTGACGACTCAGAGCGTCGACTGATGTTTCTGTTACCATGGCCAGGTATTGAGTACTCTGTTTGCATCTCCAAGCAGCAGGCTGTCGTATTTAGGTGAGCATCCTTCTTTCCTTCCTTCCTTTCTCCATGATGCTTTTCAAAATATACAAGCATATGTCCGATTTTTGATGAAGGACATCTATATTCATCTGAGAGTTTATTTCGCCCCTTTGTCTCGTCCGCTTCGTTCGCCATAGCTGACGTTTTTCATTTTAGACCCGCAGCCAGCCTGTGGTATCTCCATCTTACCTATCATGTTGTAGAGCTTATTCAATACATCTGAAATTTGCCCTTCTACTTATTCTCCACTTTGAATTACCAGATTAATCTGGTGGCCGCTACCAGGAATGTAATAATTTGCACGAACATTGGCTACGGTGCACGTTGGGTGTCACGCAGGCTTTTTTTTTGAACAGATCTGATATCACAAAACTTGTTTGCGGATATGGGCATCAACCACCGCTGATCGCGTTGTGTCCGTCGCGCCTTGCGCTGTGGCTGACGCGTAACGCGGAAACGTTGAACTGACGCAGGAGGCTCGATTCTGATCCCCTTCGAATAGGGCCAGCACCGCAGCTGCTAGTGATTCCCTCGTCAGGAGCGATATCTCGAATGGCTTTCGAGTGGAAGGCAACTCGAGGACTTCATTTGAAAGGATGGGGACCACCGTGTTCGGTCCCTCCCACAATTCCACGCAATTGCAGGGTGACACATCTCCCGAAGATTCGGAACGCACCTTTCTCATACCCATATAGGCCATCCTTTGCCTCAAGCATGTTCTTGAGCCCTTTTTACCGCACTCGCTGGCGTTCAGGAGATATGATGGAACCTCACCTACGTCCAGAACGCAAACCCAGACGGCCTTTTTCCACGACGCGTGGTCGGCGTAAATGGCTCTTGGCCGTGAGCAACCTTTCTTGCCCATGATATACCCCGCTGCTAACATGTGTTCAGGCCACCGCCGGTCAACGTTCAGACAACTGACTCGCTCTTGGTCCATGTTACCAATTCTCTCTCGGACCCTGCCACCTTGCATCACCATGGCATGTTTTCAACACTACATCTTGGATGGACGGCGCCAAAGGCGTCAGCGACACAAGGGGCAAACAGCTTTTGTCGCCAGGTAAAGAGGTAGCAAATAGTAAATAATTATGTTAAATCTTTTATTTCACATTTGTGACAAAAATGATCAGTCAAATAAGATTATAATTTTCTTGCTTATGATCTTTGTGGCAATGACCAATAAAAAGAAAATGTTGTTGCCATGGCAGGAAGATAAAGATAAACCCTGTTTTGCTGCAGCAACAATGATGAGGCAATGATTTAATGTTGTTGACAGCTTGTTCTGACACAAGGAAACAGGAACAAAGAAATTATATAATTGCCAGGGAATTAGACATTCCCATGCAGGCCAGATCACCTTGTTGCTTGGCAAATATGTAAATTCTTTGTTTCTGTTTCCTCATGTCAGAACGAGCTTTCATTGACATTAAATCATTGCCTCATCATTGTTGCCACAGCAAAACAGGGTTTATCTTTATCTCCTGCTGTGGCAACAACATTTTCTTTTTATTGGTCATTGCCACAAAGATCATAAGCAAGAAAATTATGATCTTATTCAACTGATCATTTTTGTCACAAATGTGGAATAAAAGATTTAACATAGTCATTTACCATTTGCTACCTCTTTACCTGGTGACAAAAACTGTTTGCCCCTTGTGTGAATGGCATTTTCTTTCACCAACCGCTCCTACTCACGTCTTAACTCCGCCTTAGTGGTATACCCCCTGGTGGTACCTTCGATTACATTGTCCCCGTTAACACCTCTGACCAATGGGGCACCTACTGGGTGCACGGCCACTCATTTGTATCCAACTTCCTCTTTACTTTTCCGCCGCGTTTAACCCCATGCTTTCCTCAAGGGCCAATACGTCGACGGTCTGCAAGCACCTCTGGTTCTTCATCCTCCAAAAGAAGTTGCACAGTACGACGAAGAATTCACCATTGTTCTTGGGGACTGGTATCATGAAGAACACGCTGTGTTGCTGAAGCAGTTCATCACCATTGCGAATCCTAATGGTGTCGAGCCCGTCCCAGGTAGGTCTCTAGTCTTTTGCATCAACTTTTTTTACTGAAAAACAATCTCTCAGAGTCTGGATTAATGTACTTTGCGCAAAACTCCACCTACCTCGGGCCTATTGCTGGCTCAAATCCAGCTTGTGTCACAAGTGCAGTCGAGTTCAATGAGAATGCCACCCTGCCTTTCCAACCAGGAAAGATATACCGCTTGCGCATGGTCAACACGGCTGCGTTCGCCATGTTCTACTTCTGGATCGATGGGCATGATATGTGTATCATCGAAGTCGACGGCGTATGTCTCCTTTTTTGCGTTCTGTTGCACGAGCTAATGTCTGGGTACAGACAGTCGCGGTCCCATTTTGTGCCATTGTGCAAAATCAGTTTTTACGTTTGTCTTTCTAAATCTTCTCGTACCTTGTATTCTTGTCTCTTACAATTTCGCGGATTTTTGCAAAAATCCACTCTGTGTGGGTTAAGTGTTCAAGAAAACAAACAAGAACCATATTACAAAATGCTGACCCTTGCTTTTATTAGCTATAGGCCCCCTTATCTTTCGGAGTGAACTCAGGTATCACGCTGGTGTCAGGTGAGGTGACCCACACTATGACGAAGACGAACCCATCTACTCTTCAAAAAAATGGCTTCCACTGGACCTTCGAAAGTTTCTGTGGGGATTGTGTGCATGTTCCGATCTGAAAACTCATGGGATGATAATCCCTGCTTGGCCACTTACCGACGCTGCCTATCCTGACGTTGTCCCGATGCAAATTCGTTAGCCGCGGGCTCATGTGAGGCCTTCTGAAATACTGTGATTTCTGGTTAAAGTTGAAGTTGAACATTGCTGCCATGCAATGCCTTCACACTTGTCGCTAGAGCCAGCCAGAGATTTGAATGACGGTGGCTACGTTATTTCCGGACGGAACGATTGCCTTCGATGCGCTAGCTGTTTTGGTTTTACCAGGTGACTTGCAGGATGTGGTTTACCGTCTGCTTTCCTTAGCTCCTGAGTTGAGCTTGAACGGCGAGAAGGACCTGGTCGTCGACATTTGTGACGACTTCCTCACCTCCTCACTCACAGAACCTGTCTTGCATTCACAGTTGGATTAATCTCAGCGGAGTTGTCCACCATTTCAAAAATTGGTTTCTCCCTCAACCATGAGGTATCTTTGACCCATAATAACACAAATGAGCATCCTTGGTCATGATGGAGGCTTCCAAGAGGCTTCTATACAATCTAATTATATCGGTAGTACAGTGATTATCTATATATATTTGTCCATAGCATATTCAGAGGCATCTGTATGTTACTCTGGCTGGTTGTTGACGGTCCTGATCGACCAAAAATTCCTTGCGACGTGGTCTTCGAGAATGTACCGGTATGGCACGTTAAAGCAGCCAGCGGGACAGCCAGCTTCGCGCCACTCACGTCCCCAAGAATTCTGCATGAGGAAACATTGCTTGGAGTTGTTGTACCCAATGGCCAGGACTGCATGGCCGCATATGACCCTCTCCTTAGGCCCAGGCATTCCAACCTTGCATTTTTTTGTAACACAGGGGCATTTTTCTCAAAGAGAAAAAACCCAAACACAAAGGGATACCCCTCGTTGATACACTGGCGAAGGTGATTGAGATTGTCAGTATCCTGAACCTTCTTCTGTTCTGGTGTTAATCCCTTGCCCCGCTTGAGTAAGATGGATTCCCGAACTAGAATCTGGTGCTCGAGGGCCTCTGTGTGGGCTGCAGCAGAGGGCTCCGTCCGCCCCTGTGCACCCTGGATGAACTCCCTGGTCCTTGCATCGTAATCGCCAGGCTGATATGGCCAAGCCCCTTCAGAACAGACACCAAAGTCGAAAACACTCTGAATTGCGCTCTCAATGGAGCACCCTACATTGAAGTTGATTCGGGGGATATAGGGGGCCTTGGGTGGGCCGCTCTTTTGTGCTTGGAACCAAATATACAATCGGGAGGGGGCGAATGACTTTGTTTCCGGGTCAGATGGGGGGGTATAAAAGGGGAATATTGTATTATGTTTGTGGAGTGCATAAACGAACACAGAACTAACAGCATTTGCGATGCAGCTTCCATATCGGCCTTGGTGGCTGCGACTGTGTGTGCCGAGTACAACAACGTCAAACTGGGCAGGGAGAGGAGCAGAAGGGGTGGAAGTGGTAGTGGAGGTGGTAGTGGAGGTGGTGGTGGAGGAGGTGATGGAGGAGGTTGTGGAGGTTGTGGTAACGGAAGTGGTTGAGGAGTGGTCATAAACGTCTCCAAGGTCATGGTCATAAATGTCGCCAAGGTCATAAACATCACCAAGGTCATAAATGTCGCCAAGGTCATAAGGGTCGCAAAGGTCATCTTTGAGAACCTCTTCACATAGCTCATCGTCGAGGTCTGGTACCCAGCCGGCAGGGGGTATAAACATTTCGAGTCGACCCTGTTGGTTGATAATCCAATCCGCAGGAGGGAGGTAAATCATGTCGCTGGTGTCGCTGGGATCACAGACCCATTCGCGGTCCACGAAGACAAGCTTAAACTTGTCATCCTAATTTTTCATCAACGTAGACAGTTCTCAACAAAGACAGAGATATAAGGCAATATGTTACTTACAGCTCTCAGCCTGGGCACGATACGGTTATCCGTAGGGGTGGAGTGGGTAGTGGGTTGTTTGGTAACATAGTGAGGGTATCGCGGAGATAGTTCAGGGGGTAAAAGAATGTTGTTGTTGATGTGGTGCACCACGGGAAGTCGGTTATTTATCGGAGGCAGTTGTTCATTGGTATCGTAAGGTACTACTAGTTCAGGGCCACCTGATACTTGACCTGTTAATTGATGCTGGCATTCCATCGGCTGCAAGGTCTATGAGGGTATATGATAGGGGTATATGTTGGGTATGTCATGTCGAGTGATGGTGGATGGTATACAACCTCGCCTGAAGTAAAAACCCTGGAATAAGGGATGAAAAAAGTTGTCGTGTTCCTGTCTAAGCTGGCCAGTTTTTGGTTCAGGCGGGGCCCACAACCTGTGTAGAGCGTAGCCTGTTGGGGAAGGAGAAGAAGGAAAGAGAAGTAGAGCTGGGACCGACGAAACGGTCTGGAAGTGTGACCGATCTGTGATGAGGCTGACAGATCTCGCCAAGACCAGGCGGCAGCGACCCAGAAGGGAGAAAGCACAAGGGGTGTCAGATCCACCGATTGTGGACGTAGCTCCCACACATGAGGGTACCACCCTCATACCATATTTGGAAATACGGCTTGAGGCGGCTGATTCTGTGAGATCAAAGCAGCGTTCAATTGGCATTCATTAATATTCATTTCTCATCCCCTCCTTTCATCGACTTGGACTCGACGCATCGTCCTTATTAACTCAGATTTCCTTCGAAAAATGATCAACTAACACTTTATATAGTGTAATACCACAATCAAGTCAATCCTTTTCTTCCACCAACATTACACTATCACCCTCGTTCATTCAAACCATCTACAATACTCCTACTGGTGAAAGTCCTCCTAATCCCTCAGCATTCACAACTTCAGCTGTCACGTACGATGAAAATACACTTTCTCTCGAAAGAGGTGACGCTTCCTGAGGCACTTGAGAAGTAAGTACGCTGCACATGGTGTTACTGACAATGGGTGTAACACATATGTCAAACATGGGCAGGAATGGCACACGAGGAGTGCTCTCTATAAGCACCAGAAAAGTACAAAGTGCAGATTACACCTTATGGGTGGGTTGTAAAATCTCTCAGTTCATTTATCCATACTCAATTATCTCGCAGAGCACATTATTTCGCTACTCAATCCTGATCAAATCATATCACAACTCGACAATTGTTTGTGACCTCCCCAATCCCATTCTTTGGGAAAACTACCTGGTTGCCCAGGTGCTTCGTTTCCGTTAGGGAATGTCACGGGTTTGTAAACCCATGCGGGTCAATGCCACGGGTTTGTATGGGTACGGGTACGGGTTGGGGCCTAGTAACCCTCTCCTGACCCGCACCCATGCTGCGGGCATGGCGGGTTTTGGCACGTGAATGTTCTTTCAAGCTCAATGGGTATTTGGCACTACCCAGAGAATATTGCCAATTGTGCGGCAATGCAGACGGCAGACCTTCCTACTGTACAGCAGTTGTACAGTACCTGTGGCGTTGGTCCAATAAATGAAAAAAATTGCGTCGCTAAAAAAATCCACATCTGTCTAACCCACATCCCATAACCACATCCCACATCCCGAACCTATGCCGACAGACTCTCCTGAGGCCTCTGGCCCTCATAAACGTAAACTTTCGGCGAAGGTGACTACTAATGGTGACCCTGAAGTGGAACGAAAGAAGAAGAGATTAGAAGCGAAGGTACAGAGCATGAAACCGGCACCTACCCAAAAGCACTCTAAGACTACAACAAAGGCAGCCGCGATTCCGAAACCAGCCCCACGACCACGACAGAGTGGTAGCTACCACTTTTATGATAAAATACAGGCAAGTGCCTGCACACCGACATACACACTGCCTAATGAATTTATGAAATGAGAAGAGTAGGCAAAACTTATGAAATGTATTTCATTTCTTTACCAGTGCTTCTCATGACTATTTCATAACTGTCCTGAGACATATTTCAATACTACTTCATTGCAATTTCATTACTGCCTGGCCTTCCATTTCATTGTCTACCCAGCATTGTTTCATTGCTATTTCATTCTTGCCTGACTTTTAATTTCATTGCCTACCCAGCCTTATTTCATTGCCTTTTCATATCCTTGCCTGGGCTACTTCATATTCATTTCATATCCCTGCCTGGGCAGTCTCATATCCCTGCCTGGGCAATTTCATATCCTTGCCTTTGCAATCTCATATCCCTGCCTGGGCTACTTCATATTCATTTCATTTCTTGCCTTAGGCAATTTCATATCCCTTCCTGCATAATTTCATATCCCTGCCTGGGCAATTTCATATCTATTTCATTCCCTACCTTGGGCTATTTCATATCCTTGCCTTTGCAATCTCATATCCCTGCCTGGGCTATTTCATACCTACCCTACTGCATTTATCATTGCCCCCTCAGAATGTCAGGCACTGCCTTCAGGGTCCATTTCAGGGTCCATCCCAAAGAGGAAACATCACCTGGTTTGACCAAAAGTGAAGAAAACCAAGAGGAGAATGTTTTTACCTATCAGGGTCCATATAATGGGATGTTGGGATGTTGGTCACATGACCAATTACCAAAAATGGTCAAAACTGAAAGTTGTAGCCCTACACTATAGCTTCCCGAATCTGTTTGAATTATGTTCTGAAGTGCTCCCATTGTGAAGATATGAGGTAAAAGATTTTCAAAAGTGTTGCTTCATTTTTGTGTTTTTTTTGTTGCATTTTTCTCCATGAAAACCAAACCAAACAACATGATTTCAGTATATTTGGAAAGCTAAAAAAAAGGGCTACAATTATTGTATCATGGGGAAAATGACCAAAAAAGGAAGATGCATGCCCTAGAAAAGAAATTGACACTGATAGACTATAATAGTCAGATATAGGCTACCATAACTACCAAAAAGTCAGACATAGACTACAAAGTTTACTAATAGCCAGACTTAGACTACAAGGTTTACTGATAGACTACAAAAGTCAGACTTAGACTACAAAGTTTACTGATACACTACAAAAGTTGGATATAGACTACAAAGTTTACTGATACACTACAAATAACTACAAAAGTCAGACATAGACTACAATGTTTACTGATACACAAAAGACTACAAAAGTCAGACTTAGACTACAAATTTTACTGATAGACTACAAAAGACCACAAAAGTCAGACTTAGACTACAAATTTTACTGATAGACTACAAAAGACCACAAAAGTCAGACTTAGACTACACAGTTTACTGATAGACTACAAAGTATACTGATAAACTACAAAAGACTACAAAAGTCGGACTTAGACTACAAGGTTTACTGATAGACTACAAAAGACCACAAAAGTCAAAAACTTGTACTTAGACTACCAAGTTAGTAGTGTCCGCTTTTTGAGACTACAAAAGTTTGTAGTGTGCGCTTTTTCATTAGAAAAGTTTGTAGTGTCCGCTTTTTGGGACTACAAAAGTTTGTAGTTGACATGTAGTTTATGGTGTTCTTGGCTCTGTCCAGATTATGGGGGTGAGGTTGAAGGGTTGACATGATCTTACTTACATATTACTAATGCTGCTGCATTAGTTTTTGACATCATGCACAAGTTGTCTTCACATTAGGAAAGGCTATCCTATGCCTTCATAATGGCACCTACTGTCCTATCTCAAAATATAATTATTATAAGTTCATGTGGAGATATGGCTGAAGGAATACCATGACTTTACATATTGCTATTGCCACATCACCACCTTTTGACATCATGGCCAAGTTGGCTTTCACATCAGGACAGGCTATTCTCTGCTTTCACATTGATAGTTACTGCTCTGTCTGCTGTCACATTGATAGCTACTGGCCTGTCCCAAACTTTGATATCAGCTCTTTGAGGGCTATAGAATGATGGGCTGATTCATCCTTGGAGGTGTCCTTAAGTTAGGTCATGTTGTAAGTTGACCATGTATTGAGACTGAACAGTAGATATCAACATGAATGGCCTCCTCTGGCTTGACAGCCATCTTGATCATGATGTGAAAAAGTGATGATGTGGCAATAGCAATATGTAAAGTCATGGTATTCCTTCAGCCATATCTCCACATGAACTTATAATAATTATATTTTGAGATAGGACAGTAGGTGCCATTATGAAGGCATAGGATAGCCTTTCCTAATGTGAAGACAACTTGTGCATGATGTCAAAAACTAATGCAGCAGCATTAGTAATATGTAAGTAAGATCATGTCAACCCTTCAACCTCACCCCCATAATCTGGACAGAGCCAAGAACACCATAAACTACATGTCAACTACAAACTTTTGTAGTCCCAAAAAGCGGACACTACAAACTTTTCTAATGAAAAAGCGCACACTACAAACTTTTGTAGTCTCAAAAAGCGGACACTACTAACTTGGTAGTCTAAGTACAAGTTTTTGACTTTTGTGGTCTTTTGTAGTCTATCAGTAAACCTTGTAGTCTAAGTCCGACTTTTGTAGTCTTTTGTAGTTTATCAGTATACTTTGTAGTCTATCAGTAAACTGTGTAGTCTAAGTCTGACTTTTGTGGTCTTTTGTAGTCTATCAGTAAAATTTGTAGTCTAAGTCTGACTTTTGTAGTCTTTTGTGTATCAGTAAACATTGTAGTCTATGTCTGACTTTTGTAGTTATTTGTAGTGTATCAGTAAACTTTGTAGTCTATATCCAACTTTTGTAGTGTATCAGTAAACTTTGTAGTCTAAGTCTGACTTTTGCAGTCTATCAGTAAACCTTGTAGTCTAAGTCTGGCTATTAGTAAACTTTGTAGTCTATGTCTGACTTTTTGGTAGTTATGGTAGTCTATATCTGACTATTATAGTCTATCAGTGTCAATTTCTTTTCTAGGGCATGCATCTTCCTTTTTTGGTCATTTTTCCCATGATACAATAATTGTAGCCCTTTTTTTTTAGCTTTCCAAATATACTGAAATCATGTTGTTTCGTTTGGTTTTCATGGAGAAAAATGCAACAAAAAAAAACACAAAAAAGAAGCAACACTTTTGAAAATCTTTTACCTCATATCTTCACAATGGGAGCACTTCAGAACAGAATTCAAACAGATTCGGGAAGCTATAGTGTAGGGCTACAACTTTCATTTTTGACCATTTTTGGTAATTGGTCATGTGACCAACATCCCAACATCCCATTATATGGACCCTGATAGGTAAAAACATTCTCCTCTTGGTTTTCTTCACTTTTGGTCAAACCAGGTGATGTTTCCTCTTTGGGATGGACCCTGAAATGGACCCTGAAGGCAGTGCCTGACATTCTGAGGGGGCAATGATAAATGCAGTAGGGTAGGTATGAAATAGCCCAGGCAGGGATATGAGATTGCAAAGGCAAGGATATGAAATAGCCCAAGGTAGGGAATGAAATAGATATGAAATTGCCCAGGCAGGGATATGAAATTATGCAGGAAGGGATATGAAATTGCCTAAGGCAAGAAATGAAATGAATATGAAGTAGCCCAGGCAGGGATATGAGATTGCAAAGGCAAGGATATGAAATTGCCCAGGCAGGGATATGAGACTGCCCAGGCAAGGATATGACATTGCCCAGGCAGGGATATGAGACTGCCCAGGCAAGGATATGAAATTGCCCAGGCAGGGATATGAGACTGCCCAGGCAGGGATATGAAATTGTCCAGGCAGGGATATGAGACTGCCCAGGCAAGGATATGAAATTGCCCAGGCAGGGATATGAGACTGCCCAGGCAGGGATATGAAATTGTCCAGGCAGGGATATGAAATGAATATGAAGTAGCCCAGGCAAGGATATGAAAAGGCAATGAAATAAGGCTGGGTAGGCAATGAAATTAAAAGTCAGGCAAGAATGAAATAGCAATGAAACAATGCTGGGTAGACAATGAAATGGAAGGCCAGGCAGTAATGAAATTGCAATGAAGTAGTATTGAAATATGTCTCAGGACAGTTATGAAATAGTCATGAGAAGCACTGGTAAAGAAATGAAATACATTTCATAAGTTTTGCCTACTCTTCTCATTTCATAAATTCATTAGGCAGTGTGGATGTCGGTGTGCAGGCACTTGCCTGTATTTTATCATAAAAGTGGTAGCTACTAGTGGAATCGTGTGTTGTACTTTTTCTTCGGTGCCTTCAGCTGCTTCCGCATGCCAGCTTCAGACAAGGCCAGCATGCGAGATGTGCTGTGGGGCAGTGACAATGTTGTTTAAGAAGGGCAAATTGAAGCCTTTGGTAGCCGACTAAAGGATACCGTCAAGCAGACAGGTATTTTTCGATTTCGAGGATGAGCTGCCTGTAGGGTGCGTGAGGGTTTCCTGGACGGATTGGAGGTGGCGATGGTGAAGGATTCTCAGTCGGATGGATTTGTGCACCGGGATGGGGTGTGACGCCGCATGCGGCATGACCTCAAATTTCTCGAGTATCCCCCTCTTCTTTCACCCCAGGCCCGGAAAGAGAAGTTCACATATCATGGATTGACACTTGGGGTGTCTGCTGGTGAGTTACTCTTACTATCAAACACAGCGGTTGAACAACTCTTTTGTATTGACAATCTGCAGCTTCCGCAGGCTGGATTGTTGTTGATCGGCTGCACCCACAAGGGCTTTAAGCGATGTGCAGAACAACATTCCGACTAGCTCTCGCGCCTCATCATCTAGCAGCGAAATGTCAGCGACAACAAGCCTCTTGGACAGTTTGACAAGTTACAATGTACTCATGGTATAAACACAGACAAAAGGATCACCATTCGTGATGCAATAGCCCTTCCACATCCCCACTGACAGATATCCAGTCTCATAGTGTTGAAGAGATACGAAAAGTCCTGGTTAAAGTGTGCGAACAACATATTCGCGTTTGTGCGTTCGATGGTGGCATAAGAGTCTAACCATGTTCCTTTCTCACAAATTTTATCCAGTCCATCTGCTCCATGGGGCTGATCAAGGTGTAATCCTCTTTGTGATCTTCATGCTACAAGGTGCCTCTTGAACCAGAATGGCTCTGATCGCTCGAGTGGCACCGATGTGGTCTAGCTTGTCCAATGGCATTGATGACTTGAATAGGTCTTCCTGACATACATACGTCAGGTATACAGACATGACATTTCAACGGGAATTGCCTTACATTATTATCAAGACAGGTCGAATCAACTTGTCCGTGCTGTATTCAAACACACTGGTAAAGACCTAAGCAAAAATGCTAACTTGGTGGCGTACTTACCCTTCAAAGGTTTCCATATAGGGCATTTACTATAGGGTAATGGAAGCTTCGAGGTCTTCCTCCTCGCATTTCGTGGGTAGGACTTTTCAGCTGAATTTTGATGTTGAGGAAAGAGGATCAGCAACGCTGACGTATTATTTAATATTTTGGTTTGATCGAAATTTGATCGCTGTTGATCCTGACGACCTCAACAACTCGCTCAACAACAACCACATTGACCACTGCTCTCAGTGTCCTCAAGTTCGAAATCAGCAACATTTTTGCTCAAGGCCACCCTAGCTGGCTTTTGCAAGGCCCTGAACCTTTTCGCCAACCACTTTTTATAGGAAGAAGCTTCTCAGCCCGAGCAACTATTACTGTGCAAGACCCTCAACATCGAGAGCTATCTTGCAGATGCTGTCCATCTTGGAAGCTCTCAGTGTTCCTTCTCGTCTTGTCTTGTTGCCGTTGATGATGGTTCTGGAGGCCTCACCCGACATCTCTCTCGGGTACAGAGTCAGTACCATTGGCGTTCTGGCGTTCATTGATGTGACACATACATTCTAGAAGGTCTACTGTTGTTAATTTCTATCTCTATGTGTGTGTTCTTTCTTTCTTTCCACTTTATGACAATGGCTAATGTGCAACGGATAGTTTTTGGGGACGGCTGTAGCTGCTGCTTTGGGGTGAAAACGGGGTGGTACATATTGACACATCTGGTGAGTTCGGTTGGACATCTTTCTTTGTTATTTCATCTAAGACATTTTTCTGCAGCATTATTATACTCAAGGATTTTTGGCGCCTGTAACTTTCTCTGCTGGGGTTTAGAAGGTTACTTTGTTACTGTGATCTGGATGTTCAGCACATTGAGCACTGTACATTTTACTCTCTCTTGTTGTTTCTTGTGTCGCTGACTCTTTCTCCTCTCTTTTTTTACAGATGTCATCCTGGATCCAGGCCTTGGAATGTGGTGGCTTGTGGTCTGCCTTGATTCTGGAGGTATGCCCAGCCTTCTGTGCACATTCAGTCAAGTATAACTTACAATATCCCTTCACAGTCATGAGCTACATCATCTCGCATTGGTGAATACACCCATATTCATCTCTTCTTCCTGTTCTCTCTGTCGTCAGCCGCATCCAAGCAAGTGAATCATCCTTCTGGCCTCACATGTCAGCCTTGGAGTACATCGAGTATACTCTTCATCAACAGGCCGCTTTTTCGCCCCTCAACACGTTGGAATGCTTACATTCCCCGCCACACCTACAACCTGCCATCGGCACCCTCTGTCACTTGCGGTGGATTTGAGATGGATGGTTTGCATTCTGTCACCACAGACAACATCATGTGACTCATCAAGCATGGCAACTAATAAGAATCGTTAAAACTTTTTTTTCTCAACAACAAATGCCAGCCTCTCTGTGAAGGGCATAATATTGTACCTGTTCATGACCACCATCCACCGCAGAAGTCCCATGATTCAGGCAAACTTCAAATACGATCTGTGAAACAACCCACAAAACGGGCCAGACTCTGATGGTGATTCAGACATTTTGTACAGGATACACCATCTCTCCAACCAAACTCAACTTCTCGAGCAAAATTGTAAAACTGGAGCTCGTTACAGACATTATTCTCATCGACTTCAGTAAATTTTGGCTTTTGGGAAATTAGGATCATCTCCCCAAAACCTAGTAGCTGGCTCTCTCTCCCTAATCCTCCCCATCCATTCCATGGTCAATGCAACTGTCCTCACAAACAATGTAGCATCAAATGATCAATCAACTAAAAATCCTTCAGCTCTGTGCCTTTGAATTCTCCAGCTGCAATGTTGCCGTACAACAAGCCATAATGGGCCAGCATGTGCTGGACTTTAGACAGATGATTGTTGGCCGCACTTAGCCGTTCTCAAGCCCCTTCCACTCATTCTAGGAGTGGCCCAAGTTTCCCCCTCTGTTAGCCAATTCCTGTGATATGACCCTTTGTTGTTCCATTATCATTGCTTCTCGATGTATGTTCTTCCTTTCAGAGTCTTGTTATCATTGACCTTACCTTTCCCCACCCACCGATGCTTTAGTCCATCTTTGAGGTATTTTTTCTTGTATCCCTCGGGCTCTACAATGTTCCCAGTGCACTGTCAACACCCACCATGATCTACGTCACCTTGTCATCGCAAACTGAAATGACCACAGAGAACCCCGACGTTGTTGAGACAGGGCTCAAGAAGGATGACAAAGGACACAAGCTACGTGGCAGAGACTGGCAGAGCACCCAGTGAGATGCCACCAACCGTGTAACCTCATTGTTTTCGCAGAACAGCCCAACACCTCCTACCTTTTAATGACTACCTTCAAGTTGCTCTACCTCTGCGATCAACAACCCGTGTGCAATTGTACGGTAAGTAACCGACCACCTTCGACTCCATGCCGTGCCGCTAACCCCACCTTTTTTCTTCCTGCAGGAAATAGGTTTGGAGGGTGCTTACTTAGCTCAGAGGCTTGACAAAACATCGCAATGGCGGCACCATGGGCCCCCACCACGGCCACAAATGAACAAGCCTCACCAACGGAAATAAATCACCCCTCCTCGTCTGCTCAATTGTGACCAAAAAAGCTAATCCATCTGTTTTTCTCTAAGACAGGGACCGAGGCCACTACTACTTTGCCCCTCCTCTCATTCAGCCATGCGAATCTGCTCGTCACTCAATTGCTCAACCAGTACCAATGCTGACTGCCAACCTGCCACCCACCGTCCACATGGCAACCACACCATGACCCGAGCTCCTGAACAGCTGCGCCATGCATTGAGCACATGAATGCCCATCGCTGCCACAACCTCAACAGTGCACCGAAGTTACAAACGCGCCTGGCCCACCTAGCTCCACCATGTGCAGTCAGAAAGAGCATACCAGTGATGGGGGGAGGCGGCTTTGTCGGTTCTTCTAGTGGTATAGTAGCCTGCAGATCTAGACGTGTCTTCGCAGGCAATGCATTGCAGAGTAGGGAAGTGAACGTGCGCCTCAATGCCCCAAAGAATGTTTGGAAAGCCAGCTTTTCTCCCCTTCCCTTCAATAGTTGAAAGAGAACTGGCAAGCCTGGAACGGAGTTGCTCGACATTGGTGGCGAGTGGCATGACTGGCTTCATGGTTTGAGTCGACGCTCATGGTATGTGTATATCATCCAGACTTGGGAATTTTAAAACAAGGCGGCTATTTTCTGGGAGGCGTCATCCACCAGGAGCCCACTTCCCTACGCTATCCCATGCTCCTGATACCCAAATCCTGTCTTACTCTTTGAGAGTGAGAAACACAACGTTAAATAGTGCGCAATCGATTAGAACCCTTCAAGTCCCAAAATCTGATGATTCAGATTTTGCTGGAGATAATGGAGCTCGATCAGCCTCATTGCGATTCCAATTTATTCACACTATATTCTGTGTTTAATCAACGACTATATTTCAAATGTTCAGCACATATTCTTCGGTTAAAATGGATTGAATAAACTTTAAATATAAACACTGAATAAAATGGAAGCAAATTGAAGAATAAATTATAAATATGTTCAGAGTATAAACAGTGAATTTGAGTTTGAAGGTATTTTAAATTTATTCTTGGTATGTTCAAAGTTTATTCACTGAATATATAAGCCCATGCCCACAGTGTGTTGTGCGATCTCCGCCTTGGAACCGACATGAGCGCGAGTGGCGACCCTTTGCTCATGTCGCATCCAAAGGATCGAAAGTCAATGTCCGGGGGTAGGAACAAAAGTGGAGGACGGGGAGGAGAGGGAGATGGAAGGGCAAAGCGAGCAAAACGAGAAGATTATTTGCAAGTGCAGTGAGCAATCATTGGCTCAGGTGCCATGTCTGGAACAAAATAATGCCTAATTGGGCGTTATTTAACACCCATTTGGGAACAATCAAAAATTAACACCCAATTGGGATTGCCATCAAAATTAACACCCAAATAGGCAGGCAGCCTCTAACACACACAATCTTCCACAAAACCATAACTTGCACCGCAGGCTGAGAAAAAAAATACCTGTATTCTATGTTTACCTCTACTTATGTGGTCAGTAGAATTTGATAGGCAAAATGTCTGAAATCACAGTAATGTAGTTCTGGAACCTGGGAAAATTTAACACCCAAATAGGCAGCTGCTCAAGCAGTTCACCTCCCTACAGGCTTTTCTTGTTGTGTTATGAGCCACAGGCCAGAAAAATATTTGAATAGCTCACTTTACTTGTGATAAATTGTAGGATACTCCAATTTGAACCCAGAATGCATTTTTGAACCATTGGGAAGAAAATTTGTGTTGTTCTGAACATATAAAGTCAGTTCTACTCAATGCAATTGCTCATCAAAGTATGAGTCAATGCTAATAAAATATTTCAGGGTATGTGGAAGCACTTTACATACACTTCTCCTTCCTAATGGCATGTTGCCATCCAGCAACAATAAAAGAATCAACAGGTAAAAAAAATTGTTGCACTGCTATCAAATGCTGATACATGAGCTACTGGTATGTTATTAATATTTCCTGACATTGCCTTGAGCTTCATGTGCAAAAGAGTTGTACTTATATCAAGATCTGGACTGTGTTACAATAAATCTATCCAAAATTGAAAATAAATCTGTCAAAATTGAACAACTTTTGCTTTTGATCTACAATTTTACATATGTAGACAGGGTAAAGTACCCTACTTCTTAGATGCACATTTTTGAAAAAAAATTGAAAAACCATTGACTGTTCCAGACATGGCTCCAGAGCCCAATCATTGACTCAATGTGGTGTTGCACAATCCTTGGTAAGTGTGATGACCAGTGACATGCCATGACATAGCGTCACACGGCCAATTTCTTGAGACATGGACTTTGTACCTTCCACAACACCAATCCAATATATTTTTTGCAGTGGGTTTGAGGGAATGATGTGATTGAATCCACTGAGAGTGTTTTTTATGTAGAAATTGTATTTATTGCTCCAAAAATGCGAAATCAGCTTGTTTTCCCTGCCAAATTTGGCACTCTGGAGAGATTGGACTATAACCTTCCAACCACAACACATATGGACATGGTTTGTAGGAGGATATTACACTTCAGTCACCCACCTTGACCAAGCTATTAGCCTTGTAAAATGTAAGAATGTATCCAGGCTAATAGGTTCTTCGGCCATTTATTTTTTTGCCTCTGGAGAAAAATATATTATTGCATTGGGCAAAAATGTTTGGCCTTCAATATGGTGACTGGAAATATTTGGGCTGATATTTTGTATTGAAAAATATCCTAGCCATCTGAAAGTGGTCAGAAATATTTGAAGCATGTTAGAGTGGTAGGAAATATTTGAAGTGTTTCAGACTGGTAGGAAATGTTTTAGTCATGTCACACTGCTAAGAAATATTTTAGCCATGTCACACTGCTAAGAAATGTTTTAGCCTTGTCACACTGCTCAGAAATCTTTTGACCATGTCACACTGCTCGGATATATTTTAGCCATGTCACATAGGCCAAATATTTCCTGCCAGTGTCATGGAGTATCTGGGGTCCTAGTTTCAAAAAAAAAACTTCAAAAATTTCTGACCATTCGAACTTTTATCTTCTGGATTCAACTTTTCTACAAAATTTATCATAAATATAATTTTGGTCCTAAACTTGCCTTTTTACTCCTATATTGTATTTTTATCATAGAAAAAGCAGATTATATATTGCAAGCGACTGTATCTATTTGTATTCAGCTATTTGTTGTATAGTTATAGCCTCTAAATTCTGCTTTATCATATAATAAAGATTGTTACTGACTGCTCTTATATTGAGTTTATATTGATAATTGCCTATAATAAACCAGCCCTACTTACTGAATTGTGACCAATGTCTATTGATGTCTGTAGCTAATCCATTCCAAATTGATTGTATCAGACAGAAACAGCTCTAGGATTTATGCAAATGTGATGAGTCATATGACACATAAACATGTGGTTGAAATGTATCACATGACATAATGTATTCATCACATTTATCTCTTAAACATTGGAATAATTAGCCACCAGAATTCTCTGGAATGACTATCACAGGAATGATCTTAAACTAACTTTCATTTCCATTTTGAAGTATATTCATTGAACTCTGACATGGTTTT